GTATACAATTATTACAAATATAGAAAAATGAAGTTGTTCCTTTTGGTAGATTTTAAAATATTCTTCCAATTCTAGTAATTTATATTCGCTAATTCGCAAAATTCAACACAAACGTCTTTATCCGTATTTAAATCACATCCAGAGTCGGCCTGACTTTTTTGGGAAATTGAAAACGATGCAAAATTTTGAATCAGAACCGGGCCTTTATTAAACTATTTTCTGTTATTGTTTAAATATATATATTTTTTTAAGTTAAGACTTACGATTAGTGCTAGCTAGCGTTATTGCTAACGATGACTAAAATTGGTACAAATAAGACCATAAGGCTTCATACTCCAGCAACTCGTGAATAATAATGTGGATCAAAAAGCATTTTCGGAAACAAAATAATGAGAATTCTAGTTTTTAATTAACATCGTTTCTCTTTGCGTCATGCATAGTCTCTAATTACCGCATGCGGTGCTGGTTAAATAATAAGGGATATTAAGAATTTTTTTTAATCATAAAGAAATTTAATAAAATTGCTAAAATTTATGTATTTTAATAATGTTGCTTCATTCTGTCGCATTCTCTATTCCTTTGGCTTAATTTTCATTAAGGACATTCAATATTTTGCACATGCATTTCCTCAAAATTACTGTAATATAATTTAACTAATTAAACCTTATTGGTTATTTTTTCGTGTTCAAATATGTAGTAATAAATACGTATAATATTTTTCGAAAATTAAGTGCATTTTATTCAATCACAAAAAAAAATCATTTTGATTAACTTTTAAACTTTCACAAAACCAGTAATCAAAGTTTCAAATGTACCCTAAAATTATACAGATAAAGCTTTTCTTCCCGAAGCGAAATCTTCTCAAACAAATGTAAGCAATTAATTTTTTAAGTTTCTTCGTTCAAAAAAAAAAATTTGGAAAATAATTTCTGTATATATATGAAAGGATAAAAAAAAGTACCTGTAAAATTTTATTTAATAATCTAGGACTTCTCGAGTTTCATTCATAAAAGAGGATCATTAACAAAACGAACGTAGCAATGCATTTAACACGACCCGATTCGAACCGGCGGCTTTGACGTCCACACATCAGCGTCTCGACGCTTTCCCGAACATGGACGCACTGTAATCCTGATCCTGGGAACTTGGCGCCTATATCAGCGAATCGTCGGCACAGCCGCCTTTCCTGGACCGGCGAAATCGATCGATGTATGTATGATGTGTCCCCATGTAGATGTTTCACGATATTTTCGATAATGAATTAGGTGCAATTATCGCAAACTTACGGCGAAGGGTCATCGAATAGGCCTGCAAAGTTAAAAAAGAGTGAAAACATTCTTCATTATAATTGCAAAAATAATGCATCTTAATTACAACGATATACTACTTATCTCAAAATGGGATAATGCCACCCATTAAGTAAAATCTTCTCTAGAACTGTGTTTTATTTTAAAATACATGACCTAAATAACACAATTAATTTTTATTAGACGTGTTATAAATAATTTGCTGCTAAACTCAATGAGCAATTCTTTTTGGACTGTAGCCGCAACTTTTGGAACCATTTTTCAATCAAAATAGAGAATTAAATTAAATTTGCGCAGAACTTTTTAAACTTAGTGTAACAGAAATATTCGGATTTCCAAAATGAAAACTGAATGAATCGGAACATGGTAGAAGAGATAAATTGATTTACTCATCCTTAACTTATTATTTATCCTTATTATCCGAAAGTGCAAAATTTTATAATTTTTCAAATTTGAAAGTAATAGCGGGAATTGGATGCGCTATCTATACAGAGAAATATGGATTAGGAAAGCGGTAACTATTATCGGAAAGTTCTATGGATTGTCTAATGTTCGAGAGGTTTAGTGAAGATGTCGCTATAAATTTATTATGATATGTCATTGGTCAGAGTAATTACACAGGCGAACGTTCAGTTTTCTACTAAAATGTGCTAATAATTTGCAAGAGTTTGAGAGGTTTTAGATGTTAATTTAGTTAGAAATCAAAAATTTATTAAAATCACGAATGTGTTGTCCAAATTCGCTAATGTTTATATTTTTTTTTCGTGAATCTGTGTAATTACAATTTTATATTTTTGCTGGGTGTAAAACTGGATTTTGTAAGTGTAGTACATACATAGGAAGGATCAGCAAGTCTGCGTATATACGATCATCTTAAGTGCAAAAAGGTGCTAGTTTAATCAGAATTTCTGTTGTACGTGTGTGTTATTGTAAATTTTAAGCAACTATTCTTCAATCTAATATTTTGCAATTGAAAATATGAGTCACATTTTCGGTAGGTTTCTGATAAATCTTGTAATTGTATGTATATGTAGTGTGTCGATTTTCTGCCGTGTGTTTGGTTTTATTGCATTTTCATATTCAATGTCGTATTCTACGAACTTGTGTAATGGAGTTTTAGCATACTGACTGCTTTCCTTTGTTTTCTTCCGTTGCTTTATTCAAGGCTAAAAGATGAAAATGAAGTTATTATTCGACTCTAACGATTTAACGTAAGCACACGTCTTTCTGTAAACGGATTTGAACAGCTGATCGATTTTAATATTTAGTTGTTTGAATGAAAAGACTATTTGATTAAATTTGTTAGTGTGACTTTAATGGAAGATAGATATTAGAATAGTTTGCATCTGTTATTAAATTATCTAGTAGGTAGCTGTTGCATGTTCAATAAAGTATTAATTAATGAGGAAAATTTGGACATATAACCTTCGTTAATAAATTGACAAGTCTTATTAATTTGATATGAATTTCAGTTGAGCATAGCTGATCACTGGATTACAGAATAAGAAAGGGAATGAGTGTCACTGGTACGTGGAAGTCTTGTGAACACATCGTCTATGGCAGATCCAGCTAACACACCCGCTGTTGACAGCACAAACCGCCGAAAGCGTGTGCTGCAATCGCAGCCACGATTTGAGGCCAAGCGCCTTCGTACAGCATCACAGACTTCCTGGAATTCTACAGACGTAAAAGTGACCAAAAAGGTAATCTCTCATTAACTTCCTATATACACCAGGAGGAAGTGTTCCTTTGTCAGCCACTGTGTATTATTGATCTTGCTTGGAATTAATTTTTATAAATNAACAAAAATTACATTCATCCACCTTAATGCCCCTTTATAAGGCTGATTTCTTTCGCCTATGTACCCTCAAAATAATAAGCTAATTTAAAATTGCAACATTTTTATTTTTAACAGATCAGTACATCGTCCCATGTAATTAAGTAAACATTTCGAGCCTTATAGGGCAAGGAAATACGTAACGACGGTGTAATTAAACTTTTAAGTCTTTCATTATTACTCATCGTCGACTAATTTAAGGAAACTTTGTAGGTACTGTAACATTTTCATTCGTACACTGTCAACTATCATACTTGTAAGGAAAATTCTATATTTCTTTCGTTTAATTCGATAAATATAATATTACAGAACGGTATCGCAACAACCCCTAACGCATAAATGGCGTCACCCTAAGTGAAAACTCTGCGAAATACTTTAACGTCTTCTTTAAATTCTAATTTATTGGTATAAAATTTCGATTCTATTAATATATTAACAATAAGGGATATGTCGTCAGAAGAATTGAAAATAGAACTGTCGAATACATTCTCTACAACACATTAATTCTAACCCGGTGTTGAGTTTGCAGCTAGAGCAAGGTGAATATGACAGATGAATCTGTCGCCTCGACTTGTACAGCTGTACAATTTCCAACATCTCAAAACCCAGGAAAATTGCGTTAGCAAGTTGCTTGGGGTTAATAATAAAATTGCATAAGCGACAGGCATTTAGAAAAATTATATCTCATCTTCCTTGAGATAAATAAGTGTTTTGGATATTCTAAAACATTTTTCCGCGTAGGTAAATATTTTAATTTTCGATTCTCAAGTATCTACCTACTAGACTTTACAATCCCTAAATAATCTTTATCGACCTTTAAGGATTGACATCAATCCCCGAAGGGTTCGTGTCAGCGAAAACAAAAATTTATAACTCCCTGCTTCAATTATGGGAAAATGCGGGATCGACAATAGAATCAGTCTCCGTCAACAGGTCAAAGCAATAAAACATTAAAAGTTAATGAATATGTAACAATTTGGAGGTCTACCCGAAACCAAAGAAATTAATACGTGACCTACCAGATGAAAAAGTTTAGGAATATTTTAATAGAGCATTCCATTTAGGTATTTCTTTAAAGTTTATCTTTCTATAAAATTGCCCGTTTCTATTTTTCAATTTACTTCCAAGCGAAATGTTTCATTTAAATGCTTACGATAAGTGAACACTCTGAATATAAATGAAGTCATTGAAAACATCCACGTTACAAACATTAACACATGAAAGTCTAGATTGATGTTTCCCAAAATGAATACATCAGTTTCATCCTTTGTTATCCTTTACAATTGAGAGATATACGCAAACAAACGTCTTGTATATCTTAGTGAGAATAGAGAATAAAGTTCTAGACACTTCTTTCAAAAAGAAAATGCAACTTCTAAACTTTACTACATTCAGAATAAGTAAAACGATGTAGAACTTTTCGAGATTCTTGTATGACCACCCAGCAACTGTTGAATTTACTCATTGATCTACCTCTAGTATGAAGTGCTCTACTAAAATTTTGAAAGAAATTTGAAGTATGCAGTTAAGCAAATATCCCAAATTTGTAGAAAAAATCATTTTTTAAGGATACGTTAATGTTTCTTATAATCAATATCTATAGGTATTATAAAAGTAAGTGTTCAATGTGCGTGCGACTAAAACTCAGGAGTGAGTCCTAGTACGATCAAGGGAGTCATATGGTGTGGTAACCCTCCATCTCCCTTCTATGAAGAAAGTTCCCGTTTTTACCTAAATGCTTATTTTTGAAGATATAAGGGCTGGAAGTTTCGGTATAGAACATTCGAGAGTATTCGAGAGCATTCCACAACATTTCAGGACGTTCAGGATCATCCCAGATCATTGCGGAACATTCCAAAACATTCGAATGTTGCGGGATATTCTGGAACACTGTGAACCATACGAAGCCTTTTTTGAATGGGTGAAACTACTTATTGGTAAGGGTATGTAAAGCAAGAGCCGTCGTGGGTTGCAACGTTCGGGAACATCCCGGAACATTCTGAAGTGTTGTGGATTGTTCGGGAATAGTCTGGAATGTCCCAGATCGTTGTGAAACGTTCCAAAACACACTCGAATGTTGTGAAATGTTCTAGAACATTTGTGGATAGGTGGGGCTACCTGTGTACGTTTTGTATTTTAAATTTTATCCTTTTATTCCAACTACCACACAATCTCATATCAATTCCCTGAACGAAGCGGCTAGTGATAAATAAATGTTACTCACTTTCTAGTGGGGCAATTGTGATTGACATATTTTCTAGTTGTCTCTCTAAATAATCCAAATCGATGGAGTGATAACAATATTCAGAAAGTATAGCGATATGCTCAGCCGCTGTCATTAGTGGAATGCAGACAAGTATCCCCACAATTAGCAGGAGTGCCATGTCTCCCTTATCACCGAGGCATGGCACTTGGTGCCCCAATAAATGTCAACTCATTTGCTACATCTTCTGAAAATTACGTGTACCATTCTCTAGTATCGTAAGACTTATATATATGTTGAAGTAGAAGAATCTGAAAATAAAAGGAAAAGCAAATTAATAGGTACAGACCTTCGTGCGTGTGAAAATGTAACTATTTTAGTACTTATTGTCAGATAAAATAGAACGATTTAGTTAAAAAAGGTAAGAAAATGAAATAAATACTAAATTTAATTTTAATTTAATTAGTTCAAGCAATGGAAGTCAATAAAAAATAGGCGAGATAGGTTGGTATAGGCATGAAGGTCTAGTCAGAGAAATATTAGAGGCAGAAACAGGAGTTAGGAGGGGTAGAAGTAGACCTAGATTAGATTACTCTTCGCAAATAGTTAAGGATGTGGGCTGTTCTAGTTTTAGGGAAATGCGAAGTTTAGCTCAGGATAGGAAAGACTGGAGGTACGTGTCCAACCAGTCTTAGGACTGATGACCTTATGATGATGATGTTAGTTTAAGCATGCAGCATTAGTTCAAATTCGGCAAGTTAAAAATATATAAAGAAAACACAAAGGTGCCATAAGTCTTTATAGTCCACAATATTTTGAAAGCGTCTATTTTTTGCATTAACAAAAACTAATTCAAAAGCTTTAAAATTTTTAATTACGCTTCCATAATGGTTTTGTAATTATTCAATCTTTCAAAAGACTTAATAAATTAGAAAGGTGTGCAGCTTTCTTTTTAATTCTATACTTGTTTATTTCTTTTTATTTTTATTTTAAAAGTTTGCACGTTTTCATCAGGACGTACGAACAAGTTGAAGTTGTTGAAAAGCAGATGAATCTTTGAAATGAAAAGAAAATAAAGAAACGACAGCTACGCAGAGAATATTAAAGCGACAAAAAATATTGAGTACAGTGTCTGCAATACGTTGGCGTTTTACCAACAACTGACAGAGCTTTCATCCGAAAGCTCAATTTTGGTCCAATAAAATTGCACTTGATTCGCATTGAATCATTAAGCTTTTTTACTGCAGGTGTCCCATATATAAACGTTACCTGTCAACTAAACAGGTACCTCTTTTTGTATTGCTGATTTGGATTTTATTTTTATATAAATAAGCGTTTGTTATTTTCCTATTGAAAGATTCATTAATAGGAAATAAAACTGTTACCGAAAACATAAAAAATTTTAAATTCGTAAATGACCTTTTAATTTCCTTTAAATTTATGTTTGAAAAGTAATTTTTTGATAGCTGCTTTTTTTCCCTTATATGTATCTATATTACTATTAAAACCACGCAGTTAATTCGTATAAATTTTAATATAAAATCATTATGATATACAAAATTTTTATTTAGTCAAAGATACTTTGAATTGAAATAATTAGTTTTTGAATTACATTTTTATTAAATGTCTATATAATTGCTACTGAATTTCTTAATTGTGCTGTCATCTAGTAATAGTAATTTGTACCATGAAGGTAATATCAGCGAACACAATTTATGATATCTGTGTCCGCTGATAATACAAGTGTGGTACATGTACCAAGATAGTAAAACGAATAATATATTTAACTCGTCACCTATAAATCTGTCATTGTATTGCTTTTGCAATGAAATTGTGTCGTAATTAACGAAAAGGGATGAAAAGTCCTACAACAGTGATAAAAAAGGATAAATTAGTTGCTTTCCCTGTTTCACTTTTCCCATTCCATGATAAGTACATATTTCTTTATGTTAAAAGATATCTTGAATTTTGAAATCTGTTGCATTCACTTACCCCTTTCGTTGAAAGGCATACGCAATCATAATATTAATGAAATCATGTTGTAATTAATATACGAATGTGTACATACGTCGACTCGTATCATAATCGAGGGAGTTAATTTGCATTGACCGATGTCAACAGGCCGTTTGGAAATTAATTAATAATTCGTCAGTTTCACATGGCAGCCGCTTTTATAGGCTTGGTTATTAATTTCGATCGTGCTCATTTTATAAGTAGGATTTAATTTAAAATGTTCATGTTCTCAAATAATAATTCCTGTAACATTTCTAAATACAGGTTTATAATTACGTAGTTGAGAATAACAACTGTATTAGGGAGTGAAAAAGGGTGCGAATTTAGAACTTATACTTCTCCTTAATTAAATATAATATTAGTAAATACGCGAATACAGAAACTCATCGTAGACTTTTTCAGTATTTTTTATAAAGGTAGGGGAATTAAACTTATATCATTCTATACATATTAAACGCACAAAGCAAATGATTGTATACAATTATTACAAATATAGAAAAATGAAGTTGTTCCTTTTGGTAGATTTTAAAATATTCTTCCAATTCTAGTAATTTATATTCGCTAATTCGCAAAATTCAACACAAACGTCTTTATCCGTATTTAAATCACATCCAGAGTCGGCCTGACTTTTTTGGGAAATTGAAAACGATGCAAAATTTTGAATCAGAACCGGGCCTTTATTAAACTATTTTCTGTTATTGTTTAAATATATATATTTTTTTAAGTTAAGACTTACGATTAGTGCTAGCTAGCGTTATTGCTAACGATGACTAAAATTGGTACAAATAAGACCATAAGGCTTCATACTCCAGCAACTCGTGAATAATAATGTGGATCAAAAAGCATTTTCGGAAACAAAATAATGAGAATTCTAGTTTTTAATTAACATCGTTTCTCTTTGCGTCATGCATAGTCTCTAATTACCGCATGCGGTGCTGGTTAAATAATAAGGGATATTAAGAATTTTTTTTAATCATAAAGAAATTTAATAAAATTGCTAAAATTTACGTATTTTAATAATGTTGCTTCATTCTGTCGCATTCTCTATTCCTTTGGCTTAATTTTCATTAAGGACATTCAATATTTTGCACATGCATTTCCTCAAAATTACTGTAATATAATTTAACTAATTAAACCTTATTGGTTATTTTTTCGTGTTCAAATATGTAGTAATAAATACGTATAATATTTTTCGAAAATTAAGTGCATTTTATTCAATCACAAAAAAAAATCATTTTGATTAACTTTTAAACTTTCACAAAACCAGTAATCAAAGTTTCAAATGTACCCTAAAATTATACAGATAAAGCTTTTCTTCCCGAAGCGAAATCTTCTCAAACAAATGTAAGCAATTAATTTTTTAAGTTTCTTCGTTCAAAAAAAAAAATTTGGAAAATAATTTCTGTATATATATGAAAGGATAAAAAAAAGTACCTGTAAAATTTTATTTAATAATCTAGGACTTCTCGAGTTTCATTCATAAAAGAGGATCATTAACAAAACGAACGTAGCAATGCATTTAACACGACCCGATTCGAACCGGCGGCTTTGACGTCCACACATCAGCGTCTCGACGCTTTCCCGAACATGGACGCACTGTAATCCTGATCCTGGGAACTTGGCGCCTATATCAGCGAATCGTCGGCACAGCCGCCTTTCCTGGACCGGCGAAATCGATCGATGTATGTATGATGTGTCCCCATGTAGATGTTTCACGATATTTTCGATAATGAATTAGGTGCAATTATCGCAAACTTACGGCGAAGGGTCATCGAATAGGCCTGCAAAGTTAAAAAAGAGTGAAAACATTCTTCATTATAATTGCAAAAATAATGCATCTTAATTACAACGATATACTACTTATCTCAAAATGGGATAATGCCACCCATTAAGTAAAATCTTCTCTAGAACTGTGTTTTATTTTAAAATACATGACCTAAATAACACAATTAATTTTTATTAGACGTGTTATAAATAATTTGCTGCTAAACTCAATGAGCAATTCTTTTTGGACTGTAGCCGCAACTTTTGGAACCATTTTTCAATCAAAATAGAGAATTAAATTAAATTTGCGCAGAACTTTTTAAACTTAGTGTAACAGAAATATTCGGATTTCCAAAATGAAAACTGAATGAATCGGAACATGGTAGAAGAGATAAATTGATTTACTCATCCTTAACTTATTATTTATCCTTATTATCCGAAAGTGCAAAATTTTATAATTTTTCAAATTTGAAAGTAATAGCGGGAATTGGATGCGCTATCTATACAGAGAAATATGGATTAGGAAAGCGGTAACTATTATCGGAAAGTTCTATGGATTGTCTAATGTTCGAGAGGTTTAGTGAAGATGTCGCTATAAATTTATTATGATATGTCATTGGTCAGAGTAATTACACAGGCGAACGTTCAGTTTTCTACTAAAATGTGCTAATAATTTGCAAGAGTTTGAGAGGTTTTAGATGTTAATTTAGTTAGAAATCAAAAATTTATTAAAATCACGAATGTGTTGTCCAAATTCGCTAATGTTTATATTTTTTTTTCGTGAATCTGTGTAATTACAATTTTATATTTTTGCTGGGTGTAAAACTGGATTTTGTAAGTGTAGTACATACATAGGAAGGATCAGCAAGTCTGCGTATATACGATCATCTTAAGTGCAAAAAGGTGCTAGTTTAATCAGAATTTCTGTTGTACGTGTGTGTTATTGTAAATTTTAAGCAACTATTCTTCAATCTAATATTTTGCAATTGAAAATATGAGTCACATTTTCGGTAGGTTTCTGATAAATCTTGTAATTGTATGTATATGTAGTGTGTCGATTTTCTGCCGTGTGTTTGGTTTTATTGCATTTTCATATTCAATGTCGTATTCTACGAACTTGTGTAATGGAGTTTTAGCATACTGACTGCTTTCCTTTGTTTTCTTCCGTTGCTTTATTCAAGGCTAAAAGATGAAAATGAAGTTATTATTCGACTCTAACGATTTAACGTAAGCACACGTCTTTCTGTAAACGGATTTGAACAGCTGATCGATTTTAATATTTAGTTGTTTGAATGAAAAGACTATTTGATTAAATTTGTTAGTGTGACTTTAATGGAAGATAGATATTAGAATAGTTTGCATCTGTTATTAAATTATCTAGTAGGTAGCTGTTGCATGTTCAATAAAGTATTAATTAATGAGGAAAATTTGGACATATAACCTTCGTTAATAAATTGACAAGTCTTATTAATTTGATATGAATTTCAGTTGAGCATAGCTGATCACTGGATTACAGAATAAGAAAGGGAATGAGTGTCACTGGTACGTGGAAGTCTTGTGAACACATCGTCTATGGCAGATCCAGCTAACACACCCGCTGTTGACAGCACAAACCGCCGAAAGCGTGTGCTGCAATCGCAGCCACGATTTGAGGCCAAGCGCCTTCGTACAGCATCACAGACTTCCTGGAATTCTACAGACGTAAAAGTGACCAAAAAGGTAATCTCTCATTAACTTCCTATATACACCAGGAGGAAGTGTTCCTTTGTCAGCCACTGTGTATTATTGATCTTGCTTGGAATTAATTTTTATAAATAAAAGAATTGCTTTCTCATCTTTTAAAAGAGGGTGTAATTGTAGAGTTTTATAATAAAACTTTTTTCTTTGAAGCATAAAAAGCAATTCTTTTATTTTATATAAATTACCATTGTGTTTCATTATGATCCTGCCATAGAATCCTTTATTTTTAAAAATGCTTGTGTTTTCAGTAAATATGTTATAATAGTACAAAGTAATTTATCAGTTTTTAGTGAAATTCATTTAAATAGAAACTTTTGATAAATTGCAACACTTTTCAAAACAAATTACCCCTCAACTTTTATAAAGTTGTTACAAAATGTTTTTTTTTTGTTATAAACTATAGTATTGGATAGTTAATTATCCCTTTTATTATATTGGCTTATTTATTTAAGTCAGCAAAACAGAAGTTGGATTTATTTACAACAGTAATTATCAACTATTATTGTCTACTTTATTTACATTGTGTATACTACCTCAATAATACATTGGAAATACTTGTCAGTCAAGACTAGTATCAAATTCTACTTAATTTATTTTTGAATAATTTAGTAATTATTTATTATTTAGTCATTTAGGGTACAAAACAAGACAATAGAATATTCTAAACAATTTTGTTTATCAAATTTAATGCCGTGTTGTATCTATTTTGGAAAAATGTTTGTTTTCTATTATCCAGGTGAAATCAAAGTCAAAAATCGGGCTGGCCTCTAAAAGCAACCAAAGTCTATCTTCAGTGGAAGGTCCGAGTACCTCAAGAAGCTCACAAAGTGACATATCATCTAACCAAGATACTCCCCAAAAACGACGTCACAGTTTAATTCCTGTGCCCACTCCCAAATTTCGCAATTGTTCCAGTTCAATCCCCGGGAACATAGCAGACGTGAAGAGTTTAAACAATCGCGAAGAAAAGACTTCGCATACGTTTCCCAAACTGAAAAAGGATTGGAAGACGAAAAGTGCTACTTCTGATCATCCAGATCGTCGTAAGTGCCCCGAAGAAAACGCCAACGCTGTCCCGTCCACCTTCGGAAGAGGTGGATCCAATAACAAGATTGCTAACTCAAAGCACTCAAAATTGTCGTCGTCGAGTTCGAAACAGAAGGTGAAAAGTTCGAGCTGGAAATTCCGCAAGATCACGGAAGCCACCCTGCAGGACATCAACAGTTACCCAGATAACATCAACGAGAACCCAGCAGGTTCCTCAAGTTCCAGTGCCAAACTCAGGAGTACTTTCCGCAAATCTTACAAAGACAAATACAGTCTTTCAAAACACAACTATACCACCAGCAAATTGGATAACGAAAAATGTAAGCAATTATTATTTTAGTCCAGGTTCATCAATAAGACCACTTGTGTGGTTTTCATTTCACACTGTTCTAATCTAAAGATAAGTTAAATAAAACTGAAATCGACTTTGTCTATTTTAGCGTCACCGAGCGAGGTCAAAACCCAAAATTCGCCATATTCACCAACAGTGGAGCAACCAAGCTGTTCTGGTTTCAATAGCAGCTTTCCAAGGACCCACAAATACCCACTACGAAGCCAAGGTCGCCTATCAGATCCCTGTCCTGTTGTAGGCTATATTAGAAAATCCACGGAGAAGAAAAAATCACGAGAACTCAAAGCACTGGGGGCAAGTAGTAGTCAAACGAATAATAACGCTCTTGTTGATTCTGAGCCATCACGACTCACCCGGAGTGGAGCTGTGTTAAGGCGCAGCACGAGAAGCAGCAAAGGTAAGAATTTATAATTACTCATATAAATAAGTAAATAGTTACTTTTACTCAAATTAGAATAGACATTTATTTTTTATACATTATACCCCTATACATAAATTATGCCAAAACTTATTTATCCTCAAAAGTAAGCTTATAATTCAGTTATCAGCACATGTACCAGCAGTTAATTTTAAAAACTAAAATACGTGATAATTGGATATCGTCTTTGGGTATCAAAAGGTAACTTTCAAGAAAATTTACTTCTGTACAAAATTAGCCACATGTGTGAAGTCACTATTCTAAACTCAATAGTTTCCAGGAATACGTTTTAAATTTGAACTTCATATAATTTAAAGTACCTATATATTAATGTTAAATTTAAATATTATTTGCTAAGTATTTTCTATGTAATAAAACAGACAGTTAGGGTAATTTTTTTTATAAAAATAAATTATCAATTTTCAGTATTATTATTTTGTTTATGATGAATGGATTGTCTCATTGGAGGAGTAATCTTTTGCAATAGATCCAACATGGCAAACGACAAATTATTGAATAAGTACGGGCAGCATAGCTTTGTTTTTATTTTATGTTTTTTATCAGCATTATCGAAAATCTGTCGTTATTACTCTGCCATGTTCTTGCTGATAAGATATCGGCCATTATTTGTTATATACTTGAACTAATTTGTGTCAAATGAATCTACGAACAATATTATTTAGTTCACTACTATTACTACACCTCTGACCCGAAAAAATATGAACTTACGCGTAAAATGGAAGCCTCTTACTCCGCTAAATCGTGAAGCAGAAGGTCAGTTAACCCGAATCTTCTTTACATTAAGAAAAGTAATCTTTCAATCGTTTTAATCACTTGTTGCTAAACATACCATACTTGAATGTAATTATAAAATATTTTTAAATAATTGTGAGTGTTTTATAATAATGTAATTTATTACATTATTCCATACAACGTATTTAAGGATGTTTATGTGGCAACTGAATAATTTTTCCTTGTTTGGTGAATTATCTTGATAAGCTAGTTATCTAAAAGTAGACGTTAAATCATAATTTCAATACTTGCCAGCCTTGTTGTCTACAATTGTGACGTTAGTAATTTGCATCTGATGATTTTCGTTCTACGATTCATTTAATTTTTTATAAATTTTAAAATTAGGTAATTATAACATTCGGCAATATTTCAAGAAAAATATTGCATGTTATTTATTTTTGCAAATACAATCACTTTTTACTTTGTTAAATTTTGTTATCGTCACCTATGATAAAATAGCAAATGCATAAATATTAGTCAGTGTAAACTTAAAAGGTAACTTAATATACGTATGTATACAATCGATTAATAACAATCATTACTAGAAGTTCTTGAAGCCTCGTTACGCAAGTATCACTTAACTCTTTCACTCAAAACATCCCCGTGCTTTTAGTCATGTAGAAAGAACCTCGATGAATATTTTTTGTTTTTTGCACATATATAGACAAATGCACCACCTATGTGAGAACTCGAAATTTTTGTGCAAATACTTAAATATAGGGAGGTATTTCTATTTGACGTCTTTTAGTCACGCACGCTAAAGCGTGTGGCCGATCGTTCCGCAATTTTAGCAACGGAAAAATCGAGACCTTTAATTTGATATATGGTACATGTATCTGGAACATACGCGAATACAAATACTACTTCCAAATTGATTTTACGACTTTTCGTTTTCTGATTTTTGTAATATGTATTTTTGGTACCCTGAACAGTAAAAAAATGTTTTAATGTGAAATTTTTGTTTAGGGCACAGCTCAACAACGGGTTCGTGTGCTAGTTCGAGTGGTGCAAGTGGCAGCGGTAGCAGCTCTAGAAGAGCCTCCCGCCAGCATAAGGTGGGCTCCGCAGCCCCTGCACCACTCGCCCCGCCCGCCTCCCTTGCCGCCGCTGCAATGGCAGCCGATCATCCCGATCTCCCGAATAATGCCCTAAACGGTAAGTGTCATTTTCATCTTTTCCTTTTTAGTTTCGTTATGACTAATTAATATTTTTTATTCGAAATTTGCTTAAGTTTTCATGAACTAGTTTTTAGTTTGTACACGGAATTGAAAGAAAATTTTTATACATTTTTTTATGTTTCCACTTGTTTTAAATCAAGTTGCTTATAGTTGTATTTTTATAAATTTAATTTACACATTTGACATTTAAAAATGTTGGAAGCCAAGTGTTTTCTGTTAACCACAAAATAAGCCATTGGTATTGCTACTTGCGACCATTATTATTAGAAAAGAGAGCTTTTCGAAAAATAAACAGAAATGGAATTTTTCGAATACCTCACGGCTAACGATTTTTTTACAGCACTGTTGGAATTTCGTATGGAAGGTAACGAAGTGACAGAAAATTTTATAAGTCACTTTTTTATTGAATATTTTGGCAAAATCTTTCGACTAAATTCCCTGAAGTATTTTTAACAAATTAATTCATGTTTTTATTTTGATGTTTAAATTGGTTGTGTGATATCTCGTATTGAATTTATTATTTTTTTATAGCTTCAGAAGAACCAGCGTCGCCTCAAGAAGCTACTCAGGCATTAGCCAATAGCGGAGGGCCTTCGGGTCCAGGTGCGGACTCAGAAAGCGATGACAGTGAAGTGGGCCGCCTGCAGGCTTTGTTGGAAGCCAGAGGTTTGCCACCGCACTTATTTGGTGCCCTAGGACCACGCATGCAACATTTACTTCACAGAAGCATGGGAGCCAATAGCTGTAAGTGCTACATATAAACTCATCATTCTTCAATTCTCATTAAAACTAATTTATTTTTGTTTCAGCTGCTACAAAAGCTCAGCAATTACTTCAAGGTTTACAGGCAACAGGAGACGAGGGCCAACAGTTGCAGGCAGTGATCGAAATGTGTCAGATGTTGGTCATGGGCAACGAAGACACTCTCACAGGATTCCCCATTAAACAAGTAGTGCCGGCCCTCATCAGCCTTTTACAAGTCGAACACAACTTTGACATGGTACGCAATTCTTTTCTTCTTCTGTTGTATAATTTCAATAGAGAAGTATTTAAAAAAAATATTTTAGATGAACCATGCCTGCCGGGCTCTCACTTACATGATGGAGGCTCTGCCTCGATCGTCTGCTGTAGTTGTGGACGCCGTGCCCGTATTCTTAGAAAAACTGCAAGTCATTCAGTGCATGGATGTGGCCGAACAATCCCTCACAGCCCTCGACATGCTTTCTCGCAGACATTCGAAAGCAATTTTGCAAGCAGTAAGAATATAAAATTTCTTTTATCGTTTTAGAGGATAATTAATTATGTTTTTTTCTTATTTTAGCGTGGTGTTCAGGCGTGCCTTATGTACTTAGACTTCTTTTCAATAAACGCCCAACGCAATGCACTATCGATAACTGCAAACTGTTGTCCAAACTTGACGTCGGATGAGTTTCAGTTTGTGGCCGATTCACTGTCACTTTTAGCTGGAAGACTGACACAGCAAGATAAGAAGAGCGTCGAGTCAGTGTGCCTGGCATTCTCTCGTTTAGTCGACAGTTTTCAGAGCGATCCTTCGAGATTACAGGAGATTGCTAGCACCGAACTTTTGACCAATTTACAGCAATTGTTGGTCGTCACACCACCTATTATAAGCACGCCTACCTTCATTACGGTTCTCAGAATGATGTCTATAATGTGCGCGAGTTGTCCCGATTTAGCACTTACTCTACTGAAGCAAAATATCGCTGAAACGTTATTGTACCTTTTGACTGGGTCTGGGGATGTGAATCAAGACGAAATCGAATTAGTTCCCAGGTAAGTATAACATATAATGATTTTTATTAACCAGACCTTCATATTTTCTATTTTATAAATAATTTTTCAACAGACAGCCACAAGAACTCTATGAGATAACGGCTCTTATCGGTGAGTTGATGCCAAAGCTTCCATCGGACGGTATATTCACCGTCGATGCCTATTTGGAACGTCCATCAGCGGTGATGAAGGAGCTGCCGGCATGGCAGTGGCGCGATGATCGCGGCACGTGGCACCAGTACACTATGGCAGATAGTCGCACGATCGAGGCCGCACACGTTGGCGGTGATGATGAAGTCTGTTTACACACACTTGGCCGAACTTACACGATTGATTTCCATTCTATGCAGCAGATCAACGAGGACACGGGCACATCGAGACCTGTACAACGTCGCTACGCACCCGTCGGGATCGTTGGCGCGGGCTCTACGCATCCCAACACCGTCAACAACACTTCTATCAACTCGTCGTCTGCAAGTGACTTAGACAGTCTCCATTCAATCCCTCCAGGTTCGTCAGGTGGACGCGACGCTCGCGTCGCCTGTCTCAGAGAGGAACATGGGCTGGCCGCATCGTTTATAAGGTGATATACCTAAAAGTGTAACTGTGAAATAAAAGGAAACCATTGAATAAGGTTTTACCAAATAGAAAATCCTTTTAAACTGAAATTAAATAAAACATTTTCTAAGGATATTATGCAAAACGTTAATTTTATTCTACATATAAAAATTCGGGTTAAAATGTGAACCATGTTATGTACCTAATGTAAAATAATCAGGATATTTTATTGTGAAACCTTTCTCTAATTCATAATTTAGATTTTAACTTTAATCTCAATTCATAAATTTACTTTTTTAAAATATGAATTTAATTTTAATAACATCAATTAAAAATCAAACTTTTCAGTTTGATAACTGGTATTTCGTAAGTTTATAAATTCATATTATTTTTCCTTAATAGGTCGTTGTTTTCTGTGTTGTACGAGGTCTATTCATCGAGTGCGGGTCCTGCCGTACGTTGCAAGTGTTTGAAAGCACTACTAAGAATGGTGTACTATGCCAGTCCAGAACTTCTGAAGGAAGTGTTGAAAAATCAGATTGTCAGCAGTCACATTGCAGGTATGATGGCGTCGAGCGATCTCAGGATAGTCGTAGGCTCACTGCAAATGGCCGATATCCTAATGACCAAATTGCCCGATGTTTTTGGTGTGCATTTCCGAAGGGAGGGCGTTATGCATCAAATAAGGCAACTGACCAACCCAGAAGTAAGTTTATCTGCAAATAGTTTTTATGGTAATTATTTTTTTGGTTTATTTTTAGATTCCTTTAGGTGCTAGTCCGCCAAAATCGGCCAACCCGAACATGTCCTCTTCGTATCTAATGGCGTCAACTGATTCACAGCCAGGACCCTCCAACACGTCCACTAACAACAGTCTCGTTTCTCAGACAGCAAACGGGAGTGCTACGTTGACTCCCACGGGAACGCCAACTTCTAATAATTCATCGTACTCCTCTGCAACCCCTGACGGACATAGGGCAAGATTTTATTTTTTGTTTATTTTTTAAGATTTCAATACGTATAACATTTTATCTAAAAACATTTTATTTTAGGTACGTTCTCCTAGTCCATCCCACGTTCGACTTAGCGATGTTCTGAAGAGAAGGAAAGCTCAGAAACGTTCAAGTGGTGGTAACCGTTCTAAATCGCGTCACGAAGACCTGCCTCTTTCTCCTTCTCTTATGCAAGATCTGTTTTCAAAAGCAACATCTCTAGGCAGTTCTACCACCAGGTGCAAAACTATTTATTTTATTTTTTCGTTCTCTTTTAAGCGTTTTTTATTTTTTTAGTAATTCTTCAAGGCCCCGTTATTCTAGTTCTGGTTCAAAAGCTTCCAGTTTCTTGTCAAGTTTGAATCCGGCCCGCTGGGGCAGGAACATGAATTCTTCATCACACGACAGGAGTTTCAACAAGGATTCCTTCAATAGCTGTATTGGAAAATCTTCTTCCAATTCGAATCTTACCGCTGGAAACCGGGAAAAAACAAGAGGTTGGATTCGCGATCAGGTAATTAAATATTTTTTTGTTTCATAAATTAACAAAAACGTAAATCAATTTTGTTATTAATTTATAGGCTGGCAAATTCTTGGAGACGTATTCTGCAAATGAAGTGTCCGGGCCGCCTCACCCAGCCATGAATGTGCTGGCCTGCTTGACCTCGTCAATCCAAAAATTACAAACTATTGCGTGCCAGGATGCTCTGCAAGAGTTGCGTGAAATTCTCATGGAATCAGACATATCGCCTTTCGAAGTTAATCACTCAGGCTTGATCAAAGCTCTTCTGCATTTTCTGGCCGACACAAACGGATGTCTGTATCGTGACCAGCGTCTCCGAACATTCTTGCATGTATTCGCTGGCACACCTCTCGCTCAGGATGCAGTCGACATACCCGAATTGAATCCCGTATGGATGGGCGCTCTTGTAGCCAAATTAAACGGCTGTGTTTCGCAACTGGAACAGTTTCCAGTTAAAGTGCATGACTTACCAGCTGGATCCGGAATAGGGAGAAGCGGTACAAGTGCCCTTAAGTTCTTTAATACACACCAACTGAAGGTATTAATTTTTATTAATTTAACTCATATGTAATTCAGAATTTCATTATTCATTCTACTTTCAGTGCAATCTGCAGCGTCACCCGGATTGTACTAACCTGAAGCAATGGAAAGGGGGTACAGTGAAGATCGATCCGTTGGCATTAGTACAGGCAATTGAACGTTATCTGGTGGCCCGAGGTTATGGTAGGATTCGAGACAAGGATAGCGCTGCGGACAGCGACGATGGGGACTCTGATGACGACATCGACGACACTCTTGCGGCTGTTGTTATATCGCAGTCGGGTTCAAAGCACAAGCTGCAGTTTCTAATCGGTAACCAAGTGCTACCGTACAATATGACCGTTTATCAAGCCATCAGGCAATACAGCAATAATGGAAACGATCAAAGTGAAACCGACACCGATAACGAAACTCCACTGGGTAAGTTTTAATTTCAATTCTAGTAAACAAAAATAATTGCATTAGAAGTCCAATGTATTAAAATATTATATTATTGTTTTATTAAAGGTAATGCCGGCATTTGGGTTCAAACTCATACAATCTACTACAGGCCTTTAAGGGAGGAAGTAAATTTAACCGCGAAAAGTAGTAATAGTAGTGCCTCGAGTCATTCAAGTCGTAAAGGTAAAGGATCTGGTGGTAAAAGTACGTCAAAACGGAGAGTTGACGACTTGTGGAATGGTAAATATTTTTTTATTACTATTTTATACAAAAAAGCTAAGTAATTTTTGCCTCTTCCGATAAATCCTAAACTTTTTTTGTGTTTAACTTTTTATTTCTTTTGCGTATGCAATGGATGCATTATTATTTATTAGCGTATAAGATAACACAACGAATACTTAATCTTTGTCGGTCTTTTCCCTTTATATTTATTACGTAATTCTTTCTTTAACAATTGAACACCTCGAAAAATGTTTAAAGGATTGTAGCATACTGCTGAAACTGGCGATAAAGGTTCACTCATCCGATTTAAAATAAGGAAATATAATAATTGTCAAGCACTATAAACGTTGTGTTTTGCAGAAGGTATGGTGCCTCAGACGTTATCTCCCCTTACTCCTTTCCTTGTCACATCCCTCCCCGAATCCGTATCGATCCAGGACGCGTCCCTGGAAGTGCTGTGCCTCTTGCGCATTTTAAATGCGCTCAACCTGTATTGGAACTGTTTATATCCCGCTCTGGAGTACACGCCAATCCTTCCCAGTTCAGAATTCCTTAATAGCAAAATAGCAGCTAAAGCTAGTCGCCAACTTCAAGACCCCCTTGTCATCATGACCGGAAATCTCCCCAACTGGTTACAACAGATTGCTTCAGTTTGTCCGTTCCTCTTCCCATTTGAGACGAGACAACTGCTCTTTTACGCGACATCCTTCGATCGAGATCGCGCTCTTCAACGTTTGCTGGACATGTCTCCCGAACTATCGTCAGCTGACTCTCAGGAGCGTGTTACTCCCCGTTTAGATCGTAGGAAACGCACCATATCTCGAGACGACATACTCAAACAGGTATATGTCGTGTTTAGCTTGTTTTAGACCATTAGTATATTATTTTTTTGTTTAGGCGGAACAAGTTATTCAAGACTTGGCTAGTTCAAAAGCATTACTTGAAATACAATACGAAAATGAAGTAGGTACTGGTTTGGGTCCAACATTAGAATTTTATGCGTTAGTTTCGAGAGAACTGCAACGAACAGAGTTAGACCTATGGCATGCACCGGATTCTGTAGGCCAAGAGTATGTTCACGCGGCAGCGGGACTATTCCCCTTACCCCTTGGGAAGGGAGCTAAGATGGGACAAATCAGCAAAAGTAAAAGCAAGTTTAGATTTTTAGGTAAATTCATGGCCAAAGCAGTGATGGATTCTCGTATGGTAAGTAGTCACTTTCTCGTTTTGTTACTGTAAAATTGTGCAATTTTTTTTTTGTAGTTGGATCTCCCTTTCTCTCTTACATTTTATCGTTGGTTACTGGGTCAAGAACAGTCTCTGACCCTCGCAGATTTATACCATGTTTCGCCTGATATCCATAGGACACTTAGGAAAATGCAAGAAATTGTTAGAAAAAGGAATACGATATTGGAAAATCCTGATGCATCCTCAGCCGAAAAGAATGCACAGGTATAAATAACACACTATTGACACATATACGTTCGCATATTATTACGCAATTAATTATTTTAAGCAGCTAGAACAATTGGATTTCGACGGTTGTCCAATTGAGGACCTAGGTATCGATTTCATCCTTCCTGGACATAATGTAGAACTGATGAAAAATGGTCGAAACACGCACGTGACAATCCACAATTTACACCAATACGCGAATCTGGTGACGTATTGGTTCCTAATTGAGGGAGTGTACAGACAAATGGAAGCTTTTAGGGAAGGTTTCGAAACCGTGTTTTCTCTTCAGAATCTGCGCATGTTCCAACCAGAAGAGCTAGAAGCCGTCTTCTGCGGAAGCCCGCGAGACTCAATGAGTGGCTGGGATGTTAAGACCCTGATGGAATGCTGTCGACCAGATCACGGATTCACGGCTGACTCGCGCGCTATCCATTTCTTGTTCGAAGTGCTCAGTTCCTACAACAAAGATGAACAGCGGAGGTTTGTCCAGTTTATAACTGGGAGTCCGAGACTGCCTGTTGGAGGTAATATATTTATTATCTTTACTTTATGATTATTATTATTATTGAGTTATTGTAGAGTACGTACAAAATGGTCTAGACTTGCTATTAGACTATTGGCAAAATTAAAGCTCAAAAAGTTTGATTCTTTCAGCCCAAACTCATTGTTTTAAATTTATAATGTTAAAAGGTAGTAATGGGAAAAAATTTATAACATTAATACTTCATTTTAATAAATATTGTAAATTCCGTCCTAAAACACCAGCGTTTAAGAAATAAATTATATACTATACTGTAAACTAACAGGAAGAAATGCAAATTGAATTGATTTTTTTTATTTTAGGTTTTAAAGCGTTGTCTCCACCGTTAACAGTCGTGAGGAAAACTTTGGAACCGAACCAAAACGCAGACGATTTTCTTCCATCTGTGATGACTTGTGTCAACTACCTCAAGCTTCCCGACTACTCCAGTATCGAGGTGATGCGAGAGAAATTACGACTAGCCGCATCCGAAGGACAGCATTCGTTCCACCTCTCATAGACAGAATGCAAAAAAATTAATCAAGAAAGAAAACAATAAGAGACACAAAAGTGACCTGCCTCCGATGCTGATATATAATGATAACGATAATGAATTACGATGATGATGATGACAGAGTGAGTGTGAATGTGCCGTCGTACGCTTGAATCAAAAAGAGAAACTTGACTGATGATTATCGTGTAATAAATACATAAATACATACATATAATAATTAATGAAAATATCAAATAATTATTATTTAATAAAATTAACGAACAGTGCATCACTAAAGTACACATAAAAAGGAAAACTGTTGCGTTAGTGATTGTAAATATTAATGCAATCATTATTACTACTCTGCTACCGCTATTATCTTTATTATTATTATTTCTTATTAAAAACAGAAATAATCTTTATTTTGAAAGAATAATCGTAGTCCTGTCATCCATTCTACTGCTCCTGAAATATGAAAACCACTAGTTTCGCCAATTAGTTTATTTTTGTTTATTTTTTTTTTTTTAAACGATAGCCTGCAGAAAACTTGGTGGAGTCTCAGGCGAAATTTTCGAATAAATCGATTATAAAAAAATGTTCTGTTATGTTTTCTTATGTTATGGTTGTATATGTGCTAATTTCCTTTGGTGTACATTTACGTTAAAGTTGATAATTAGAAAATTTGTTTCTGTATTTTGCCTCCTAAACTCGATCTTATGTTAATATTTCTTTATTGAATAAATCATTAATTTCTATGTAAAAAATCGATTTTCTCGGCTGATTATAGGCAAACGTCGTCATCGTTACTACGAGAGTGCAATGGACTCAATTGATAAGATACAGTGTAGTTTATCCAACGAACAGACTTAAATTACAATTTTAAGTTGTACAGGATTTTAATAAGTAATGGAAGCCATTTCAGTTATGTACTTCTTGTAGTCTTTATTTAAGAGTCATAAAATTACAAATGTATTGTTAAAATAAAATTTGTATACTGATCTCTTTTTGATATCTATTTTATCAAATTTTTGCTTAAAATGTTATGAATTAAATGATACTTTTGAAATTTTACCCAAGTAAGTGGACTAAAAATCAGAGATTTGAATAACCAGTCTCAACAGGCGGACTCACTGAAGAACCACTTCTGAATGATAGTCCAACTATCAAACCCTTTTCAAATAATAGTTTTAGATACTTTTATTGTTAATTAATGTAACAGGCCTGTAGCTGAGTTTTATGGACTCTTAAATTACTAGTTTTTTTAATTAAAATAAGCATTTTTTATGTTTACCTACATTTATTTTTGTTATTAAAGTACAATTCAACAAACAATTACAATTTCTAAATCAAGAAGGCATAATAAACTTCATTTCTATACAAAAAGAAATTTTTTTGATCAAAATAATGTGAGGGGACACTTTTTTATACTTAATAAGTTTTTTCAGATATTGAGCTTATTTTTCTAGGTTTTTACAATTGATTTAGCAAATTAACCCATACAAAATGATAACTTTAAATATGTGTAATAATAGAATCAAAAGACCATCGACAGCCAACCAATAATGAGTAAAGTGCCACCAACAGGAGCAAATCGATTAAATTTATTCTCACCAGTAAAAGCATGATAATAACATGCCCCAGAGAACAAAAATGTTCCTGTAATAAACAGGGCTGCTGTCTAAAAGCAAATACAATTAAATATTAAGTTATGAAATTGGAAACTTAAATATGTACTTACAACTTTTGGAAATCTACATAATGGTAAAGCAACTAAAGCTAAGCTATGGTAAAAATGGAATTTATTTCCAGTTTCATATATTGGCTTAAGCTCGTTCACTCTATCTTTAGGATATGCTTTGTGTGCCCCATAGGCACCTAATATAACTGCTGCTGCTCCACTTAATCCTGCTAATCGTACGAATGGTCCTTGTTTTACAGCTAGTTTCCATAATGGACTACATTCTGTTATTATAGTCGATTTAATTGGGACAACAGGAGAAGGTGAGCCTTTACTAAAGTATTTTAGGGGGGCCTACAATACGAAATACTTAATAAAAGAGCACTAAAAAGCAATTAGATATACGTACAGTTACCAAGTCTGGCAACTTCATTATACAATTTGTGATCTGTTGCATATACGGCTCCAGTTTTAAATTGTAAATAATAATTTCTTAGAAAAATATGCCTTGTAGGTAAACTAAGCAGTTTATGCTTCTGTTGTTTTTATCACCACAAACGTCAGGCAAACTTAACCTTAAAATACTATTGATTTTTAAAATTTGAATAATTCAAATAAAACCAATTCATCATACAGATTAACTTTATTTTGATGTAATGCAAATCAATGTACAAACAGTATTATCTATACAACTGTAATGCCTAGTCTCTAATTATCTTGTAAAGTAAGTACAAAAAATTATTAATAACCCTTTTATATTAACAACTTAGGTTAAAAGTTATACATCAATAAGGTCTGTATCTATTATCACCCCTATTTCTACCAAAATGTGGATTATAAGGCCTATCGTAGTTTCTTCCTTGATTATTTTCATATTTTCTGTCCCTATATCCCCTTTGGTAATTGTTATATCGGTTTTGTTGATTTCTTCTAGTTCCTCCATACCAGGGATACATTATTGGAGGTGGCGGCAGATCATTATCCCATACCTTTTTATAATCAGGGTCTGCATCAGTATATCGATCAGAAAACTCTAGCATGCATTCTTCTAAAAATATTCGTTGTTCTTCCGTATATGATTCTTCTGAAGACATGATTGTACACACAGTAAGTACTGCACTTGTTTTACTTACACTCGCGTACTTTTTACTAAATAAACGTGTGTTAAAAAGATAAAAATAATATACAAATCCACAAATTAACGTTTACAAGCTATTGTAAAAACCATTACACCATATGAAAACGCCATTACTTATTGTTAGGTTATATTTACGTTCAATAGTGAAACCAAAAATTTTCGCAAATGTTTGCGTTATCTTTATTTGGAACGTTATTTAATTTACAGACTTAACAAATATGTACAGAGTATATCATTAATAAAATAAATTCATTTCTAGCATAACTCTTGTGCCTTTGCACATTTAAGCAGTACCAGGGGCTCTGCTGCTGAGTTTCATCATTAATTGAATACAGGTAAATTATAACGGATTAATTATGACTTAAAACTTGCAGATAGCAAAATCAGCATTTTAATTATTGTTCTAACAGAATGGAAGCTGTTTTTCCAAAAGAAACTAAATATAGAAGACGAAGAATAATTTCAAAATTTCCAATAGAAATGTATCCTAGAAGATTCAGGAATTGAGGAGATGATATGTTTTAACATTTTAAAGTGTNATTAACTAATGATTCATAATGTGTCCAGAGTCTGTGAATGGAAAATAATGATTTGAAAAAATGGTCGTTGAGTATGAACGATATTTTAAAAAAAATTCCATCAAACATTGCTCGAGCAATAAACGAAGGTAAAATAATATTGCTTATGAATAAGTTGAAAACTTTTTTACTTTATTTTAATATAGAAAGACCACCAGTAGCTGACTCACAAACTAAGGCATTTCAAATGCAGTACGGAATTAACAATTATGAATGTGAATGTCATATGAATAAAGCATTCATAAATTATACAATTACCATTAGAGACAGACTATTTTAAATAACTTCTGTTGGTTTAATACTTCCATTCCCGATATATATAAATATATGTCCATCATTGATGCAACATGGAAATATTTACACGTTTAAAAAATATCATTATTATCATATAAAAATGTATCAAAAATGTTTTGCACATTTCCACTAGAATGCTCAAATGAAGCATTAAACCAATTTTGATGTTTGTGAAAAATATTAAAACATTCAGAAACGCAATATACATAATATATCATTAGTCTTTTTTGAAATGCCTTTTACATTTTTTTTAATGCTATCATGAAACTCACACACAAAGATGACTTGCTGTTAATAAAAAGGTTGGTTAAATTTAGAATAAAATGGTGAAGGCGCCGGACATGTATTTTTCCGCAAGTGTACTTTAAAAATTCGTAATTTAGTATTAGGAGAGCATAAGTAATAGTGGATAAGATTTCTGTGCTCCTAATACTTAGTGTTATTATTATTTTAACTGAAAATTAAAGGTGCGTTCCTTTTGATAACCTAAACAAATAAAATTAATTTTTAACTGATCTACAGCTTCTAGAAGAAAAGTAATATATAAAAGGAATTTATATTATCAGTTTAACTAATATTATTTAGTTGTTTGAATTCAATTACATATATTAAACATTTTTTTAATTTGGTAAATAATTGAATTCTACTTAAATGACAACTGTTTGTTTACGTTTGTGCTTGTTATTTGTTTTAATACTTTTAATGGACATTAAGTTAAATTTGCAAGTAAATTTCAGCATTTCCTTCTGTATCAATCAAATTTTAAGTGGTTCAAGTGATTTGGCGTAAATAGGGACCTAGCACTGACTATAAAATAACATTTTGTAACACATTGTGCTAATGGTGTCAACTAACATAATATCCTGTTTTTAATCAGTAAAACTGGCTTTAACACTTTAAAATTGTTAACAATAGCATGGTAATGTATTATTTATGCAATTCTTCGTGAAAAACAAATTTGGCTAACGTTTAATTATAAATCAATATATTACAAAATATTATAACCTGAAAATTATTGATACTCATAATGTTTGCAAATTATTAATAATTTGATTACAAAAACTGCTTTTATTATAAGAATACCTTTAGTTAGTGATTTATTAGTGAATTAAATAAAATTCTGTAATTCCTAATGTGTATTAACTACTTTACGTGCAACTATTATTGGTGATAACAAAGTACTTTTATTTAGTAACAAGCTGCTATTTTAATAAGTGCAATAATAAAGTTTGTGAATACACTACTTCAATTAAAGGCCATAAAGTAGTTTACAGTATTTTTACTTCAACTTGTCCTAGGTTTTTAGCTCTCATTTCATAATTGTCTCTTCCCTCAAATTAAAAAGTATCACTTAAATTTTTAATTTAAGTACTTTAATAAATAAACTCTTCTTTAAAAATACAATATTCTCAGAATATATAAAAGAAGATTAAAAAGTTAATCCTTAATTAAATCAGCAATTGCATATCAAAAGTTAGAAAGGAAATATTAATGTATGATTAACTAAATTCTACTTGTTCCAAAAGAAAAAATGTTCTGGGGCGTAACACCTTTAATTCTAACTTTTCAATAAGCAATTGCATTTCAAAGTAACAATATAAAAGGAAAATAAATAGCAACTTTCATTAAGGAAATGAGAAACAATTAATATCAACTTGTTAATTAATCATGGCAATTGTATCTTGATTTGTTTCATTTAAATCAGGCATGGAAAGACATACATGAGTTTCTTGGGGATTATTAAAATTTTGCTGAAGATTTGAGTCCATGCCAAGATCCAGATCGTTTAAATCCATAAACACGGTATTATTTTTACTAAACGAATCGAAATTTTGTTTGTCCTGTTGACTGTTGTTACTTAAATTTAAAATAGCACTGCACGAAGTTTTGTTGTAAATATTAACGACATTTTCCAAATTTCGTACTATATCGTCCAAATTATTATCCATCGAAGCATCAATTCTACCTTCGACCAAGTTACTATCATATTCAGGAAAGAGTTCGGCCTCCTTGTGATCGGTATAAATTTTGACGTCTTTAAATTCGTTTTCTTGTTCGTTTGATTTTTTAAACACCCCATTCGCTTTTTCTGCTTCTAGGAATGTGTTTAAGACACTCGTGAGACTTTTTGTACTAGTTAAATCAGTCTCTTCAGTCTTTTGTTTATGCCTACTTTTAATATGTCTTGCTAACGAACCTTTGAACTTCAATGTACTGTTACAAAACGGACATGGAAAACACTCGGACGAATGGCAGGACACAATATGTTGCTTAAGTTCTACAGCACTCATAAACTTTTCCTTGCACAGTTTACAAGCTATTTTATGTCTGTCAAGATGTCTCTTGAAATATAATTGTTCTTTGAACTTTGAATCGCAATGAGGACACTGGTATGTCTTCAACTCAACTTTAGTAGTATGGGAACGTGTATGTGAATTTAAATACCTTTTCGTTGTGAACTTCCTCTCACAATAGTCGCACGAATACTTTGGCTGAAACAAAATATTTTTTTGACTATTATAACGTTAGCCTTGGTAAATATACAAAATACAAGCAAATGTAAAATATTAAAATTCTGAATGTTTCAAACCCGTAAATTAATTGGTTTACAGGGAAAGAAAGGAAATAAAAAAACAAAACAACTTTTCAGTTAACTGAAATTGTTTAAAAAATTGATAACATTCTAAGTCTGTGATATTGAAAAATAAAAAACGTTTTGAATTATTTAAAAATTGATAAATATAAAAAATTTGTAATATTGTTACCTTTAAACATAATATCAAAACCTAAAGTTAATGTTCACCTACTTTAAGATTTTATCTTTCAGAATTTTTTCTCCCGATAGTTAATTGACTTATTATAAGTATATGTAGAACTTTCAGAATTTTAGTATTCCGTTTGTTATAAAAGTATGAATTAGGAATCTTTATATTTCTTATTGCCTTATTATGCTTTACTTCTTACATACCTCTATTACTTTTTTATGAAGTTCAATATGTCTAAAATAAATGTCTTTCCTGTAGAACTTCTTATCGCACTCTGCACATGAATAAGAGCGCATTTCATGCACTTTAAGATGTTGCAAAAGACATTCTCTTAATGCGAATGTTTTGCCGCAAAATTCGCAAATTTCCGTTTTTTCAATGTTGTGAGTTCTCAAGTGTTTGTGCAAAGATGATTTATATATAAATGTTTTCTTACAGTGAGGACATTCGAAAAGTTGACTTCCACTATTAGAACATTTATGATTTTCATATTCAGTCTCAGAGACAAATTTTCTTCTACAACTTTGACACATAACTTTTTTCCCATGGGCGAACTTAATGTGCCTTCTCAGGTACTTTGAAAGGAAAAATGTTTTATCACAGAGTTGGCATTTAAATATTTCTTTATCAGTGCAATCGTGAGCCTTAAGGTTTTCATTACGAGTAAAAACCTAGAATAAAATAGACCACGATATGTTTTAATGAACCGTTTCGTAAAAACAATAGTAACAATTTAAATTAAAAATACTTTGTTACCTTCCAGCAATGTTTGCAGGTAAATTTTCCTGTATGACTGCGAAGGTGCTGCAAGAGGGTTTTCATCTTGGCAAATGGTTTTAAACATATATCGCAAACGTGATTATCTTCGGTATCGCTAATGTCGAAATAAAAATCGTTCAGCTCTTTATCATTGCTTTCAATTAAATTTGAATAATCACTTTCAAGAAATGCACCGTTAGAGTTCATGTCAAAATTATTCAATTCTAACGAGGGTGGTAGTAAATTTGCAACATCAAAACTATCATTTGATAGCAAATTATTAAGAAGAGGGCCTCCCAACACTTCAACTGCCATTTTATTTCTTTTATTTGAAGTCTCCTTTATCTTGCATTTCTTCTTTTTTAATGTTGTGTTTGAATGGATGATTTTTTTATGTTTGTACAAGCTCTAAAATGTTTATAATAAAATAATAAACTCAATAAACTTTTAAAAATATCTTACTATTTTGGTGGTAAATTTTTCCTTGCATATTCCACAAATTTTATTTATTTTTTCAGTATAATGCTCTATCATATGATTGGCAAAGATGATAACGTTATTTTCCAGCTTTGAACAAAATTTACAAATCCAATTTCTTCTAGTACAAATATTTTGCTGTTTAGTTAATAACGTATTTAAATCTGTAGCAAATATAACAGCATGAAAATACGTTTTGTTTCATAAATCCATTAATTTTCTTGTATAAACTTACTCACCATTAATGTTAGAACAATTTCTTGTAGCCGATTTAGGCAACTCTTTGGTTGTAAGTAATGGAATTTTCATTTTTTCTGCATAATAGGAAGAATACCATACTTTTAATAATTCCCCTTTCTCTATGTCTTTGATAGCTGCATATATTATATTTGATTTTTCCTGAAATTATGTTAAGATAAACCTTGGAAACTTCTCCTGTTTAAAACTGTTACATGCAATATTTTAATCATTAATATCGTCCGTTTTTATAGGAAATACTAAATACTAAAAAAAAAAAAGAATACACCTAACAACTACTACCTAGGATAGGGCACTAATAAATTTAATTTATCTAATTTTATTAAAAGAATGTAAAAATTACCTGAAAGCAAACCATGTTCTGCTCTTCAAGGCAAATTGCTGGATTAATAAACATCAACCAGTTACAAGCATTCTCATCTGATGTATCAAGAAAGGACTCTTGTAGATCTTCAATTTCTGAACTAAATAGTTTCAGCGGAAATAAAATTGAGGGGTTCAAAGTAATCAGTTTTGGAGCATCTAGTGGACCAAAATAAGTACCCTTGGCAATTTTCTCATTTGAAGAAACTTCAATTCTTCCATCAGTCATAAATTCCAATGAGAAGTTGGAGGGCAAAGTCAGTCTAGCTTTACTTGGGATCGACTTATCAGTTACCTTCATAAAGTATAAAGGAAAAGTTAGTTACAAATTTATTATTTCTATTAAAACTTACATGATTTTTAAGAGGAATGCTGTCACAGTTATAAGATGTATGTGGACCTCCACATATTCCGCATATTTCTGAAATAATTCGTTTTTACTAAAGCCATTATTGTATTGAGATGACATACCCATTACTACACACAAACAAAGTTAACACCTATACCAAACCTAAATTATTTTGTGTATAATGCACGACTATTTTACATTTATAATTCATCATATTTTTTTAATTATCCTCAAATATAAATCATAAAACACATGAATCTTGACGTTTAAAATTTAAGGTTATGATCATGTTATGATACATTTGATTTTCTTCAGAGTCATGTTATTTTAGTTCATATTAATTGTCCATATTTTAGTTCTTTTAGATCATAGTTCTTTAGTTGGTAATGTAAATCTATGGTAATGTATTATTAAAGTGATAAAAAAGTAATGGTTTGTTGTTTCGTTGATATTGTTGATAATGGGGACAGTTTTTTTATATTATTTAAAATTTAATTATTTGTAAAGACGAGAACATGCCCATTCTTTACTTAAAAAGTATTTCAACCTGTGACAAAGGATATGGCAACCTCTACATTCAGGTAGTTTGTAAAATTTGTAGGTTATCTAAAAAAGATGCTTGATTTTGTTAAATTTTATTTTATTTTAGTGCTGTAGATGAATATGGTTTTGAAAGGTCGCTGGAATTCGATTTTAAATACTATGAAAGATTTATGTCTGAGTACATTGGAATATTAGCAAGAAGATTAAAACGTTGGGAAGACTTAAGTAATTCAGAAAGGAAGAAGAAAAGTGGCACCCTTAAACGATTTGTACGTAAAGGAATTCCCATTAGTTTAAGAGAATCTGCTTGGATGACTATTTCTGGTGCTGAAGAACTAAAACGGAATTCAAAATATTCATTTAACACATTGAGAAAGAGGAAAACAAATAGTGTCATAAAAGAAGCCATAGAAATGGATATACCTCGCACGTTTCCAGATAACATATTCTTTGATAAAGATAGCACTTTGCCAGAGCAACTACTTGGCATTTTAATAGCTTTTGCAAATAGTAACACAGATATTGGTTATTGTCAAGGTATGAACTATATCGCTGGACTTCTGCTTTTAGTTACAAAAAATGCAGAAAGCTCATTTTGGTTATTAAAGACTTTAGTGGAACGCATTTTGCCTCAGTATTATTCAAAAAATATGTCAGGTTTAATAACAGACTTGGCTGTATTAGATAAATTGGTTCAAAAGAATGAACCTGCTGTCCACAGACACATTGAAAGTATTGGTTTACCTTGGGCTGTAACGACAACAAAGTGGTTCATCTGTATTTATGCTGAAGTTTTACCAACTGAAACAGTGCTACGTATATGGGATAGTATTTTTTATGAAGGATCTAAAGTTATTTTTAGAGTGGCTTTAACACTTATAAAAATGCACAGAAACAAAATTTTAGAATGTAAAGATATGACTGAATTGGTAAAGTGCTTTAAAGAAATGGGCAGCCATCATGGGGTAATCAATTGTCATCAGTTTATGAAGGTAAGGAAGGCCATTGCCTGATTTATCTGGTGCATCTGCCCCAGGGATTTTAAAAAACTGTGATGTTATTACTGACGTAGAAATTACCAATGTTTTCAATTTAACCTGAGAGAAATTTATTGTACCTGTCTGGTGCTAATAAATGGAAAATAAAATAGTACTTATAAATTTTCTTACCCATTTTTTCTTCCAGAATGTATTTCGTGTTCCTGGTTCATTTCCCAATAAGTTGTTGGAAGATCTACGAAGGCAACATAATAATAGTAAATAATCAAGCACCGAAACGCTTTGTAATGCACTTTATACTGTCCAAAATTAAATAGGACTCTATTATACGTAATTTATTGTAATTGAAATTATTTTTGTATTTTCTGTTTGTTTTCTATTAAATTTATTGCGTTTATTTTTTAATCTTTTTAAAATTAAAAAATGTTTTACTATACCACAATATAGACAAAATTACTTTGAATTATACTAGTGATGCAATGCAACCCCCTCTTCGTTAAAAAATGAGGCACAATAAAAAGAAGTTAAGAAAAAAAAGGGGAGACGTATCTCTGTTACATTTAATGAATGAAATATTTTTTAAGTAAAAATTTCGAGTGAATTTGTAATTTATACGCAAATAAAGCAAGAACTGTGCACTAACAGATATTTTACTCTCATTTAGACAATCGTACAAAAATTAAGACAAAATTAAACATATTTGCGACAATTCTAAAATAAAAACAAAAAATTTAGGATAAAAAAACTCACAATACTTCTACAGAGCTGAGAGGCAAAACAGGAATATAAAAAAACACCACCCGTATGTGTAATTAAAAAACAAGACCCAAACCTAATTTTAATACCATTTACACGAGAGTTTCAACATCTGCTAAGTTTTCGCATTTTGCAAATTTTTTTGTATTTTTCTTGGTTAATTTGGTTTCAAATTTTTCCTGTTTTCACAATGAAAAAGGCAAACATAAGGTGTTGTTTTTTTTGTTGACAACTCACGCTAGATGTACAGCGAGAGCGTCAAAAATTACTTGAAAACTTTTTTACTTTATTTTAATATAGAAAGACCACCAGTAGCTGACTCACAAACTAAGGCATTTCAAATGCAGTACGGAATTAACAATTATGAATGTGAATGTCATATGAATAAAGCATTCATAAATTATACAATTACCATTAGAGACAGACTATTTTAAATAACTTCTGTTGGTTTAATACTTCCATTCCCGATATATATAAATATATGTCCATCATTGATGCAACATGGAAATATTTACACGTTTAAAAAATATCATTATTATCATATAAAAATGTATCAAAAATGTTTTGCACATTTCCACTAGAATGCTCAAATGAAGCATTAAACCAATTTTGATGTTTGTGAAAAATATTAAAACATTCAGAAACGCAATATACATAATATATCATTAGTCTTTTTTGAAATGCCTTTTACATTTTTTTTAATGCTATCATGAAACTCACACACAAAGATGACTTGCTGTTAATAAAAAGGTTGGTTAAATTAAATTTATCAACAGATCTGTAAAATTACTTAAGCTGTACTTTCTGTAGTTGTATTCTGAACTAGTTGGCTTTCCTAAAATAAACAGAAAACGTATCAAAAAATAGATACTTTTGTCATATTCATAAATTAACACAAAGTATTTGGCTTTCTAAAAACCATAAAACAACTTTTAAAATTTATACCTACTAACTCACCTGCAATTGGGCAGTAGCATTACCGGACTCTTCACCCTGCAAATGAATAGAAAGACATTAAATTTTGTTTTATTTTAATTACATATATAACAGTAAAACTACATGACTTCCATCACCTTTACTTATAAATGATTATTATATATGTATGTCAAAAATATAAATCACCTCTGAAATTAAATTTAAAATGCTACAATAAATTGCCACCCCTCAAGATTGTCTCTATGATGTCCCCCCTGCCTACTTACTTTCTGATTTATCGATTCAGACTGAGAGTTCCCACCGCGCGAGCGAGAGCGACGTGGCGCTCCACGCCTACGATAACGACGCTGTGGCCCGCCTCGGTTTACTCCACCTTCTTCGCCGCCACTTTGTTCACCACCTCCTTGTCCGTCCTGCGACTGGGGCCGTCTGGGACCGCCTCCACGGCCGCCCCGGAAGTTTCTACGGAAAAAGCGCCTCAGAGGTCGACGGCCGCGCGGTCCATCTCCTTCCACTTGTTCCTCGTCACTGCGTGGCGGACCCCGATAAGAGCGGTAATAGTTGTTTCCATATCCGCCTCCGCCACCGCCACCTCCGTAACCACCGCGGTCACGTCTGGGTCTGTAGCGACGCGGGGGAGCACCTCCACCGCCTCCCTGTATCATGCTGTTATCTTTCACCCCATCATCTGCAAAAATACAAATGTAATATTGAAATACATCTCTAATGGCATTTGCTTAATTACCATTTTGAATTGGTGGTCTCGGCCGTCGTCCACCTCCTCTAGGAGGACCACCACGACCTCCTCTACGTGGGAAGAACCATTGACGATAAGCTCCCCGTCTACGATCTGCAGCATACGGTGAGCCTCTCACCGGTTCACCATTTGGACCAGTTACATTGGCAGCTTCATTGCCCTTTTCCCCTACCACAACACTAAATTCCACAACTTCGCCATCACCTACTGAACGAACTGCTTTCTTAGGGTTGTTTTTAATTATAGCAGACTGAAAAAGTATGAAATTATAAGGTGTAGTAAATAAAAGCGGTAAGAAAGAATTAAGAAAGTGAATAAATCATATACCTGATGTACAAAAACGTCTTCCTTGGTGTCATTTCTAAAACAAAAAAAAAAGTTACAGAACATTAGATACACTATTTTAATAGAATCATACCTGTTTATAAAACCATAGCCACTCTTCACATTAAACCATTTTACAGTTCCTGTGACTTTAGTTGCTGTAAGAAAAATAGACTACAATGAGTTTCCATAACACTTCTACAATGAAAAACATGATTCTTTGATATGAATGCAATTTATATATAAAACTTATATACAAAAGTCGACTGTAATGTTATTGATGACATACTACAAGTTTATTACACTAGAGTAATATGCATCGTTAACAATTTCAGAGGTAATAGGTCATTGTAACATTCATTCTGTAAATATTTTTTATCTGTGTAACTTGCATGCACGAATGCAATACTGGGGCACAAATAAGGTCAATATAAAAGATAACATTATGCTAGTTTATCTAGACGTCACTGATTAAAAAACCACACAGTATATATTCAAATTGTCAATTATAAATTATTTTCATGGCTATAAACAATTTAGTACAAATTGAACTGCAAATAAATGTATATAATTTTAATTCATCAAGACGCCTTTTGTTAATAGTTATTATACTTTTTGCGGTTGTTTAATCTATAAGAATAAAAAGTAAAAAACCATGCGCTCAGAATAAAAATGGACGCCGATGCACGCGAGCACACCGAACTCTTTATTTTCATTTTTTAGTAGATAACAATAGCGGAAGAATACTTACCAATAATTTGTTTACCCTGTGCAGTTGTCTTCGTTTGTTCGGGCGCTTGTTCCGGTTCTGCCATGATGTTACGGCCGGGGGCAAGATGTTGTCACTCCGCAACCACTCCAAGATGTTCACGTCGTTCCTGCTATTTCAGTTGTTGTAGCTCTTACGGATGTTCAGCCTGCTCTGCCAAAAATATAAGAGTAGCGAATTATCACAAACATTTTCGATGTGTACTTGTTTATCGTTACCATGGAATTTAACAATAACGTACTACGATTCTTGTATCATTAATACTATATATTAGTGTTACTTTTTCACTTCTGAGGGCGCAACTGTCTGTTTCCTATTTTTCCCTTCCTTCCCATTCACTTCCTCATTTTATCCGTTAATTTATTAACCTATAATTTTTTTAAAAATGTTCAAAATACTTTTTTCTTTAAAAATCTGAATGATGCAAAGTTTCAATATTAACTAATGATTCATAATGTGTCCAGAGTCTGTGAATGGAAAATAATGATTTGAAAAAATGGTCGTTGAGTATGAACGATATTTTAAAAAAAATTCCATCAAACATTGCTCGAGCAATAAACGAAGGTAAAATAATATTGCTTATGAATAAGTTTTCGTTTAAGTCTGTCGTATTTCAGAGAATCAAGTATATTTACAACAGCTAGTTAAACGGAGTGTACGAGATCTGCAGCAAATTGCTAGGTTAGATGTAAACGAAGCCAATCAACTGTTATTGTATATTTCTAAAATAGTATTGGCGAAAAGTATAATTCCTGGTTAATCTAAAACTCCATACATATATAGGCAATTTTTTCCTAATACAATTAATTTAATCAGTTTCAGAAGTAAAAGCTTCAGGCACAATTACAACTGGATGTAGTTCAATTGATACTGTTCTGAAAGGTGGCATTTCATTGAATGGGATCACTGAAATTTATGGAGAAAGTGGCGTAGGAAAAAGCCAAATATGTTTACAATTGTGCCTCACAGTACAAACTATTATAAACTCAGATATACAACAAAAAGGTAAGGTACTTATGCTACTTGCATTTTTCTTGCATTTTATAAATGATAATAATCTAATATAATAGGTGCAGTTTATATTTGTACAGAAGACGTTTTTCCATCCCAGCGTTTACATCAGCTAGCAAAATTACTACCCTTACGGATAACTAATTTTGGAACACAGTTGAAACTTGAAGATAATGTGTTTATTGCCCATGTAGCTGACTTTGTAAGTTTAGTAGTAATATCGAATGTTCTTTCCCATTTTCACTAAATGTTCTCTATAGAAACAATTAAACATCTGTTTGGATGCTAAATTACCCAGATTATTAAAAAATAGAGCTATTGGTTTAATAATTATTGATTCAATAGCAGGTGCATTTCGAAGTGAAAATGAAAATATTAATTATTCTGAACGAAGCCTGGAATTTTTAACTGTGGCATCAAAATTAAACAAACTTGGACAAAAATATGAGGCTGCAATAGTTTGCATTAATCAGGTACAATGGAAGTATAATCACTATTCTATTTTATTTATAACACTTTTAGGTAACTGATAATATAACTACAGGAAAATCTGAAGCTTGTCTTGGGTTAGCTTGGAAAAACTTGGTTTCTCATCGACTGTATGTTTGTAAGCTTCACAATCAGATAAGAAAAATGGAAGTTATTTTTTCTCCTTATCTTAAAGGTAATGAATGCCATTTTACTGTTAAAGACACTGGAGTTGTTAATGCTTGAGTATTTCTTTATTTACTTATATTTAATATAATTTTGTCACCTCTACATTTTTATTTCTTTATCTGAACTATAAACTTATGCGGATTTTTTATACATACGATATAAATGTTAGACATCCTAAAGAAGGGTTTTCCGCTCTTTTCTTTGGTTTTACATTACAGTATAGGTTGAAGGGACTTCACGTCTATCAGCACTAGTAGTAATTATAATAAGATTTGGAAATGGCTAAGAATTTCGCATTTGACCTTATCTCAAGAGGGCTGGATGAAGGTGGTCCATCAAGCCCTCTGCAAATTTTAAAATATTTTAGTGCCAAATCTAGAGAATTTCAAATTTTTAATTTAAAAAAAAAGTACATTTTGGAAAACTATTTAGGAATTAATTGACAAGTTTGTTGTTTAAAATTGAATGAAACAAAAATTAAAACTTCTTTTAATAGATACAAGTTTATAAATGATGCAGTTTATAAGCGTCAATTCAAAAAAAATTAGTTTTTTGATAACGTATTTTTATTGTTTAATTGATGTATATAAGCAGAAGTGAATTTTATCATACTTTAAAAAGTCTATCAATCTTTTTACTTGATTTATTTATCTAGCAATAACGTTCAAAGAGTATGTGTGTGTAACATATTTAAATGGTTGGTAAACCTCATAATCAATTTGTGAAAGTTTTGCCAACTTTATAATGATAATCAATTAATCATTTAATTACCTTTGATTTATTTTTTCTTTTTTATTTATTAAATACAACGTAGTAAATAATGTAGTGAAGACAACATGAGAGTAAATGGCGCACAGAAAATCGAAATCATTCGAAAAAACAACGCCTATTGATATCAAAAAGACTTTCCCAATTAATTATTCATTAAGTAATGTAGGTANAACAGGACAGGCTATTAAATTTATTAATTAATATTTAAATATAAGACAAAAATGGTGAAGCAGAATGTGTACCCTTTATGTAATTAATATTTTTCTTATATTTTTTATTAATTCGCGATCATCAAAGTGCGACAGTAACGTGCAATTTTTTTATTAATAAATGTTATATTTAATGATCTCCAATCAATCAATCAAAATGATGTACATAATAACTATTAAAAAAAATAATAAGAGAAAAACCGATGTCTCGCATCCGTTTACAACATGCCATCATCTACTTTGTAGAATACAAAATGCAAAACGACTAACAATTACATATACATTATAAAAATATACATGGGATAGAATTAAAAAAATAATAATAATAATAATCATTGTAATAGCGATAATAAACGATTTTACATTGGTGCACACAACTAATGCTAAAGGCCCAAAAAAAAACAGTCACAAAAAATAACGCATAATAATTAATACAATATATTACAATTTAAATGTTTTATCCCCAGATCTCCTCAACCGTTTCATTTTGGTTTTATGAACTACAGATTTATTTATAAATTATATAACTCATTAAAAGTTGTTAAGATGTGATTAATAATGGTTTAAAAAAAAAGGCAAAACAATCACATCTTAACACAGACTATCACACGCAAAAACAATTTTCAACGGAAGCAGAAGCAATATACGGGGTGATTCTTTAATTATAACACATGTGAAGACCCAACACGCACTTATTGTCTTCAATTCTTCTTTTTTGTAACTTACGTGAATTACAAAGTTACATAAAGTTCCATTGCTGTTAATTTGTTATTCAAAAACCACCCTGCATATGTACGTATGTATATAAAGGAGAGATTTAAATTATTTAAGTTGACAATCGAACATATTTATTGTTTTCAAATTCAGGTGACAACAAATTAATAATTTAAAAATAGACAAGAAAGAAAAAATAATAAATATATTAGTAATAGTTCATTTAAAAATTAAGTCGAATGATATTCGCGTTTACCACATTTTCGTTTTTGATTTTTCTTTCGATCTAGGCGCAGAGGTATCTCTTAATTAATTATCAAAATAAATACTTAAACAATAATAAACTAAAATAAAAGGTATATTACAGTTTGTATAGTAAATTTGCTAGTCTTACCACCAATAAGTGTAAATAATAATAATAATAATGACAATTATGATAGTCGTTCGTAGAGTGATTAATTAATACAGAGTTAATAATAGTATGTAATAATTAGTAATGCATTACTAATTGCAAATAGGCTCGGTGGTATGCACTTATAACCCGTTATTGCAAATAAGAGTTGCTCTTGCCTGGGTGGTCGATTGGTGGTGATAAGAGAGAGATAATGTAACCAATCAATCATTCGAAAGAGAAGGAACGTTAATAACAATTAATAGCAAATGCGTTTAGTCTAGATACAAAAAATGCATTATGTACATCCATATCACATGTCCTCCGTTAAAATAAAAAATTTATATAATAATAATAGTAATTATATAGGTAATACAACTAGCAGCTTGTGTCTATTATTATAACGCAGCAGCAGCGGCGGCGGCAAAAACAACCACGGGAGGGATGAGGGGGAGGATGAAGGAAGAAACCTTGGTTTACGAATTGTGTTGCTGTTGTTGTTGTTGTTGTTGAGATGGGGGATTGCTTCCTTCGCAACTTTGCGTCACATCCGGCATTTCCGTTTTATTATTCTCATCACCCTGAGAGGCTTCTGTGATTTCCTCTTGACTCTCTTGTTCTTCACTTGCATCCTCCTCCTCCCTGTCCGGTTCGGGCATCAGTTCGATGGCGCGTTCAAATGTTTTTCTTGCGCTGTTCGACCTCTCTAGGAAGTAGCCGTTCGAATTGTCATTGCTTGGAGCGGGGGGTGACCACGTGTTGTACGAATACTGCGAATTGGCAGGATAACGGCGCTCGAGTTCGTCCTGCAACCAGGCCACTGCCTGCGTCCATTGTCTACGCAAGTCCGCGTGACCGTGTAACATGGCTAACGCCGGGCGACATTTACTGAACAACGCCACCATGCACTTAATGCACTGGTACGCTCGTTTTTGGTAGTGATTTTTGGAACGAGCAATCGTTTCGAGGAGGCCTTCGCGTTCTTCCGGCACACCCTTGATCGCATTGTGGATTCGGTGCGTTTGCCACGAGTCTTCGATCAACAGGATCGACAACAGGAGTTCCATATGGTGCCTGAGCTCTTGACAGTACGCGAACGCTATTTGCCATAAAAGCTCTGAGAGAATTATGCGCGAGAAATGCGGGTTCTCCCAACAGCAGAACTGGAGCAGTTTAATAGCGTCCTCCGAAATATTTGTGTCCTCAATTACTTTTTTTATGTAACTGTAACACATTGCCACAAGTTACAAGAAAGAAAGTTTAGGGGATATTTAGATTTAGGGGAAAGCGACAAATGTGAACCGTTTATAACAAACACATACTACATTAAAATAAAACGTGACTTACATCGACCTTCCAAACAGTATTTCCATGGCCTGAGGATGCAGGGGCATAATGTAGTCCGGGATAGTAGGTTCCCTGTAGGGATTAGGCAGCACTGGATTACCAGTGCTAGATTGGCATTTCGAAGACACGTCGCAACAGCGTACAAGACAAGAAACCAGCTGGTGCAATTTTCCTAATTCTATGTACTGGTATTTTATGGCTGGGCCCGGGCCTTCATCCATCGCCACCAGCATAAACGTAGCAGGCACGTTCATCTTCAATAATTGTGTCTTTTCATGGATACCTGGTAATAAAACAAAAAAAAAATGCATTTATACTAGAGCACCCAAAAAAACAGAAATTTTACCTTGACTAGCATACATATGAAACACATTACAGTAATGGGGTAAGTGTCGTCCATTTTCGCTGACTTCACGTTGTAAAAGACTGAGGAGGGCGAGCAACAAGTGATCGCTGAGTGTGGCCGATGGGTCGGGGTTGTTGAAACCGGGTGGGGGCGCACAAGGACCGTCGTTGTTTGAGAAATGTGCCAAAAGGACGATGATTTTGGTGAAGGCCGACCGAATCTCGTTACTTGGGCAACTCAGGAGGTACTCACAGAAACGATGGGGATGGCTAAACAGCATTTCGTGTGCGAACCACGAACGCGTTATGGGAGATGCACGTAGGTGCAAACATAATATATCGCACCTAAANAATTAATAGTATTCATATAAATCTAATAATGAAGAAAAATTAATATGAAATTACTGTTGTCTACACTTATAATTTTGTTCTGAATATCACTGAAATAATTTTTCTGGTTAAATAAGTTGTATTAATGAAATGAAAAAAAATAATGTACCATTCAATTGCAGGACCTCGTAGATTTTTCTTCGTGTGCCATCCGGAATGGAATAGAAATTTGCTTGCTAGTTGAGTGCACAGTAAAGATAATTGTTCCGATTCTGTGTTGATATTGGCCCTAGAACTTGTTGGAGTCGTGCAAGTCATGAGTTTCCTAATAAACGAAAAATACTCTATTGAAAATTGACTACGATGATGCAAGAACTTGATGTTCTGTTTTCTTATGCTGTTCTCAATGGCAAGCGGCATCTTCACATATTTCTCCTTTTTACCGGCTACAAAAAAATACAATAGAAAAAAATGTCGAAAATGTTCGGAAAATTAATCTTACACAGACTGAGCATTTCTATAGATTTTAGGAACGTTTGTTCTTCCACATCCATGCGAGTGTAGAACAGCATGTACGCGTTCCACCACCTTTTTTGGCGACGATACGTTGTGCGTTTAAGCATCGGGTCAAACACTTCGCCCATATAATCGCCTCCAAAGCATTGAATTTTCATCTCCTCATCTTCCCCCATTCGACATTCTGAAACGTCGCCATCGTCGAACTTGTACCAACGAATTTTACCACTTGGATCACAGTTTCTTATGTAAGAGTAATAATGGCCACCTACACAAAGTTAAACTATTGAAAACAAGAAGCACAGAAAAAAATATAAAATTACCTGAAGCTTGTCCTGAATGCACTACAATTCCGGAAAGTCTATATTTCGTGCAGGGGTCAGTAGTACTGGTGTCTAGATCACAGTCAACAATTTCGCCCTCCAACTTAGCCAATCCTGAGACCGTGTACGGTTCCATGTCCAGGTCACGTGGGAATTCGAAATAGTCGTTGAATTTGATGGCACACACGCGTTCGTAGTCGTACTCAAACCGTTTCAACTGGATCGTCAATATAGGAGGCAACTTTTTCACGCACAAACGTTTAACTGTCACTACTTTTTTCGCACATTTTTCGCAATAGTACGCATCGGCACCCTCTAGCAATTCACCTGAAATAAAAAAGAATCAAAAATGCTTCAAATAATTGACTCATAAAAAAATTATTCACCCTTCACATATTGCTCCATTGAATCCTGTAGGGAACTATGATTTCTTATGTCAACACTGATAACACTAAAGGGCTCTTCTTTAGAATATCTATGGGGACAGCCTCTGCATATCTTCTGATCTGAATAAGAGCCACCGAGGATTTTCGACATGATCTGTTCATGGCCTAAAGTTTTTAAGGCCTCATCCAGACTTTCTACAAGCGACATGAAAAATTCTACTGCATCCTGTTGCTCCCTTAAATTTACGGGTTCACCTAGAAAACCATTCCGAAACTTTTTAATTGTCTCATTCTATTAACAAATTCTACTACCTTGTAATTTGAAATGCTTCCAAAGACCCTTGGGGACATAATATTGCAGTCTTGAGTAGGCTAAGTGTCCAAAAATAGCTTGAACTTGCTTGAGAATGCCTACATTGTAGTCTTTCCTGTTGTTATCAGGACCTATACGGTCATCGCAACAGCATTCGGAATCAATGTCAAGCCTGTCCTCTCCGCTGAAATCTTCGTTAGGATCAGTTGCAGCTCCCTCGGCCGCTAAAAGTCCTTCTCGTATACTTTCCACCATGTAAAGCTGCTGCAGGACCGAGTTCATATAGCAAGTGGCTCCGGCGTTCTTCAAACCTACAAAGCCCTGGAAGGGGCGCGGCCCTACCGCTGGAAAATAGTCCCACTCGACTATGGCACTATCAGGGTCTGAGGACGGGAGAAAATATTAGAAAAAATTGATATGGTGTATAACACTAAGATTATTTTGAAATTTTTGAAAATATGCAAAAAAGAGGAATAAAAATTCACCTGAATAGAACATGTCATTGAGCATTGCCACCAACTGTTTACAATTCATCACGCAGGTTACACAAAGGGAGCAGAGTAGTTCAAATGCGGCAGCCTGAGTTTGGGGGGTATCGCAGATAGGAGTCGCAGGGTCCTCTCCCAATTGTCCAGTTCGACCTAACTGTAACATGAGTTTACTTGCAGGAAACAGGAAGTCTTCGAGCAACTCCTTTATGAAACTTCCGGTATCCGAACTTCCCAATTCGCACTTTTGCTCTGTAGTCATAAAACTCAATAATTCCCTTCCCAAACTTAAATGACCTTCCAAAAGAACATCGTGTTGATTTCTAGCCTTTCTTAGCCAAGCAACCTCGCGGGCCACCAGGTTTTCTATGGCAGGAAGGGGCACGTGAGCCATGTAAGAGAAATTAACAAGACGGCAGAGCAATTGAAAGAATTCATGTGACGTTTGTGTGTTTTCCACAACCAAAGTATCTAATAGAGAGAAAAGAAAGGGAGTTACGAGCTGAAGAGCTAGTTTACTCGCAGCTCCGCATGTACAGATAACTAGGAATTGCTCGGCAGCGGATATCCGCACTGCACTGCTGGGATTAAAGAGCACTAGGTCTGTAAGGAAGTCAAGGAACATCTTCTCGCGACAAAGGTGTTCTAAACTGCTCGGGTTCAAAACCAAGGCGATACTAAATAATTCCAAAGCTTCTTTGCACAGAAGAGCATCATCAGAGTGAAGTTCCAAAGGGGCATTTCGTTTAGCTGGATTGCACAAAGAATGCAACGTTTCATGACCAGCATCCCGAGCATGTAAATTAGCACTACTTGCAGCCCAAACAAGTCTCATTATTGCCAATACAACATTTGTATCTGGAAATTCCCAGTTTAGTGCCTGATTAAATAGAGCTTGTGTGTGACTTGTGTTAGTTTCAGACAGCATCAAGTCTGCAAGTCCTTGGGACAACTTCATCGATACTTGACGAAGAATGTTGTCCGAGTGACCTGGAACGGACCTCAGAGCTTGCTTCAAATACATCCCAGGCGTCATTACGTTATCGTTCCTGTTTTCCGTTTCGGGAGGTGTGTGATCTTCACTGAGACGGACCAGAACGTGCGCTACCGAGGTCAGGATTAATTTACAAATTTTAAGAACAATTAAGAAGGCCGAACGTAACGTAACAATATCTGCGTTGCTCATAAAATTGTTTTTGATTAAGAAATCTAAAAAGGTATGAGCCTCGCCAGAAATTATGAAGCTGTATTGGAATTCGTATGATTTATCTGAAAGAGGTTCTTGGGCAGGCATGAGAAGTACATAGAGCACTTCAAGGTTGTACAAGACTTCTGCAGGTGACGCGCGGAAAAATGTGCTTTCAATTGAAACCTCTGGATCTTTGCTACCGTTGAAAAGTAGGAGCAACTTTTGAATGGTTCTGTTGTCACAGGGCATAATTTGAAGAAGGAGTCGTGCACCGTCACGAAGTGGAGGATAGTCCATGGCACTGCCCAACGCTGCCAATTGACAGAAGAAATAGGCGTAAGGTGTTTGCATTGACATAAGAACCCCTGGTAATAAATTCTCTGCCTCAATGTTGGGGCCGTCGTAAGGGTGTTGCGGAGATGACGTTGAACTGTCAGAACTGCTGTCTTGCGATGATGCGATATTCGAGTTGATGTGGGACACTTTAGCGGAAATAAGCTGAAATAAAAAACATTTATGACACTACGGAAATAATAAAAAATGATGATTTACCATTTTATCTCGCAATGGAATTTGTGATAATAATTTTCTGTCATCACCAGAGTCTAATGGCTCTCCATTTACAAACAACTCTAATTTACAGTGCACTCCGGGCTTAATCTTTCTTAATATGTGTCTTCTCAGTGAGGCTAACGTTTCATTAGAGTGCGTAAAGATTTCCAGGTCATCCACCTGCCTGCTGGGACTAGAAAACCTAATTATTAACGTCATATGCTTTCCCCTGCAAGCCCTGTGCAAGGGCAGTATTCTCCTCTCGCCCATAAAGGCGCTGTCACATTCGTTTATATATTCATAAAGTACCCTAAGGACTCGACACATCTTCACAGCTTCCGATTTTATTCTATTGTGTATTTGTTTGGTTTCAAACTCTTTATCTACTGAGGACTGTTGCAGTGCCATCACAGTATCATAGTAAGCCCTGAGTCTATTGAAACACTCAGTAATGAACTGTTCGTGAAATTCCAGCTGTGTAGCTTGCAAACTAGGTCCTAAATTGGTCGTTACTTCGCGTAATAGTTCAATAGCTCGAGCTGCCACCTCGTCAGTGCACAAAGTAACAACTTTCCAAAGATAATCAAGACCTATAAGATCGGGGTCTTCGGTAAGGAGAACACGTCGTTTCGGTTTCAGTTTGTCTTCTTTGACGTTGACTGCTTTAAAGAAACGTTCGAAGCACTTGATGCCGCTTTCGGTTAAGAGAACAGGGTCAAGCTGGAGGATGTTGTTCTCGAAGAAGTCCTTGTTTATTCCGGGATCTAAATCAGGCTCTTCGCCCATTAGTTTGGAGAACCAACGAAAACATGCCTCGCGATCTGAAGGGAATACTGCATTTTCTGTAAGACAATTCCATATCTGCTTCGCTTGTTCAGCGCATAACCACAATTGACCATCTCTCAAAAGAAACCTGACCAAACAAAATTTAATAATCAGATAACAAATTTATTAATTAGAAAGGTCAAAACTGTACCTAAGAAAATTCAGTCTTTCCTGGACCTGTAAATTGTGATTGTATCTCCCATCAGGCAGGTAAGTTTCGGGATTAATTTCGGGATGTTCTTTCGCCAGCACCCTTAGTCGCTCCATGTAATTAGTCAAACTATTGGTTACTAAAATAACTAACGAATGTTGCGTCTGCAATCGTTCGATGACCTCCTGCCTGTAAAAGGTGTGGTTGGTTCTCTGGGTATGTATTCCATTCACATTGGGCTCGTATAGGCACGATATTTCCCTAATCTGTTTTAAGGCAGGCAAAGCCCAAGAATCACCCTGTTTCAATTCGTCTACGCATTTATCGAGCCACACAGTTTTCTGAGCGTCCCTTTCTTGGGAACAACTGTAATCTAAAATTTTAACATGGGCAGCTAAAGCCTGGTCCATAATCTCTGTGGGCACTTCTTCAGAATGGGCCAAGTTCCAAAACAATGTCAGGACTTTGTGAGCCATGACACCTTCTTTGTCGTCTTCGGCAAGACGTCGAATAAGTTCCAGGAGTCTTTCTCGCTGCCTTTTCGATGCTGATGTCCAACTGCTTTGAAAGCATTCAAATAAGTGATCTAACTGTTCAGGGCTAAAGTCCCATGCCAGTTTTGCTAGGAGGTCGTGAACGTTTTTGACTATAGCCTCGTGTTTGCCCACTTGCGCCGACCAAATGGCATCCAAGTCAGACAGAGTTAAGGCGTGTTCTTTGATTACAAACCTGAGGATTTTTTCTAATTTTTCTACATACTGGGGCTGGTGTAACGAGTCTCTTAATACTATTTCTAGCACTTGGTTTTCTTTGAGCCATTTCTGAAAATAATACCACAAGTAGGATGTTAAACTAAAAGAAAAGTTTATTTCAATTTACCGCCATTCTTTCTGGCGTTAAGTACTCTTCCTCCTCCATACCATGGTGCCTATTGGGGTAATAAGCTACACTAGAAATGACTTTGTTAATTTCATTAAGAGCATTCATTTTTCCATTAAAACTGGATATTTGCAATTGACGTAGTATCATTTTTAGCCTAAAACTTTCCAATACTCTTATCAGTTCCTCTTGATTAGGCACACGAGATGCCAAATTCTTTGAAGATTTTATTATTGCCGAAACAATATCACTCTTTGTCTCACTTTTTGCTTCACGTTTCAATTCGTCGTCAGTCAATTTTTCTAATATATTTGGAATCATATCCTGCAATTTCAATGAGGAGTTTTTATTCGTAATTAATTTAGGTATTATTAAGTTTTTAAAAGATAAAGTTATTATAGTTATACATCTTAAATAAAAATTTTACTTTCTTTCTGGTATATTATTAAAACTGGTAGTAATAGATTAAAACATTTTAAGATAAACTGAATAGTTTATATGTAAAAATAAATTCCTTTACTCATAAACTAATGGAATATAGTATGTAAGGAGTTTTAGAAAGGGCAATTGGCCTTTATTATAGCCTTTACACTACCCTAAATGTAACAATAAAAAAGCTATTAGGTGATTAAATGATGCTTTTAAAATAAATGCAATAAAAGAAAAAAATAATTTTGAAAAATGGGTCCAACCAACAACCTGATTTATAAATTAATGATGTGGCTATTAATAACACCACATAAACAACCAAATGTGATGACTCATCATTCATTTCATAATAAGAATGTAGTTACTTTCTCAGTAAAATCATGTAATAAACAACTGCTTAGATGCAACAACAATCATTAAAAAACTTACCAAAACAGGTAGTATATATTTATTGATAGTATGTGGTGTTAAGAATTCGTATGACAACCCAAAAGGCCTAATGAGTGCAAATACAACAGAAACACTCAAATTTCCACTCTGAAATCTCTCCAACAGCAACTGAAATCCTCCTAGTTCACCAAATTTATTTATTAAATCAACTAACCAGCCTCTAGGGTTTCTAATATCATTGGAGGGTCTTGCAAACAATTCCTCTTCTGATAAACTTGTATTTGAGCCAGCAGTTTCACTAGCTCTTGAAGCATTGAAAGTGTGAAATTTGTTATTGGGATTAAATAACATTGCTAACAGATCCAAAAGTGGAAACCAATCTTGTTTAAGTTTCACAACACATAACTCTACCAATTTGAGGCAATTTTGAAAAATACACAAGTGTATATTAGACTTCCAACTTGAAACTGCATCATCAGTCAATATTTTAGTAAAGGAGATTGTTAGACCTTCTCTAAAGAACCTTTGACATGCTTCTGATTGTGTGTCTAAACCTTTTTTTGCCAAGTCAACAGAAGCATTAAGCAGACATTCTAGTTCTTGATCTGGCAGAACAGGTACTACCCAGCGTACATTTGATATTTTTTCATCAAGTGATAACAACTTATCATGGGGAAAATCAAGTTCGGTTGATTCATTTTGTAGTTCATTGGCTGTTGATGTAGCAGGAATATTCTAAAAAATACTTCTGTACTGTATGTAAATGAAGCTTTTTCTGTGAACTTACTTGTGTGTTGTCACAGGGCTCCCCTAGGAATCCCTGTCCCCTTGTTACAATGGTCATTAGGTATTTAATTAAGTTAGTCAGACATTATAAAACTCCTATATAATATGGCCAAGTTTATTCTCTTTGAAATACCACACCAGCAAAGTAATCAGCGATTTTGACATGCAATTCTTAAAATAAAGGCTGACAAAAGTGTATCTAGGGATCAAAAAATAAAAGGGAGGAGTGACAGTAACGACATTTTCAGTTAAATGCGTATGTAAACAATGACACTTNATTAATAAATAATTATATGTCAGAATCACAAACCAATGGTAGTTCAAATTAAAATGGGAATATGTAATTGTTAATATGAATAGAAAAGTTTACAACGTAGACATAAATGCCACTTTTATATTTGATATAAACGTCTGAAAATAAAAATTCAATTTGGGTCAAAATAAGCATGTTAATTTGATCCAAAAAGACATTAATAAAATGTGACATCTATTAAAATTCTTGTCTCGGATGCTAGACGTTAATCATGCAGAAGTGGTCACCCCAACTACTGTAATAAATGTTCAAACACAAATGTGTTAGGGAGGAGTTTAATAAAAGTGAGGGTTGGCCTTTTATGAGGTTGCGTGCTGTTCCTGGAGCACAATGCCATGACTTTTAATATGTCCTGTTGTACGCACACATTACGTACCGGTCCACTTTTTCATTAATCTGCGTATACAGGGCGTTTCATTGTATTTTTAATTTTTCGCCCTCTTTATTTTCCGCATATCAAAACTAATGAAATGGAAATACAAACGTCAAAGGAACCGAATTTTATTAGTTTTCTTTAAAGTTACACTCGTAAAAGTGTATGGAACTGCAGCACCCCTTCTTATTTCCACTTAATATTAGCGACAACATTTAATATAATGAGTCCTGTTTTCTTTACCTATACTTGAACAATATGAAATCCTTGAGCGTAAAATCAGTAATCATCCCTCCGTACATAAAACAGAAATCAACAGGGGAATATTTAATTCCATTTCTAGAAATAGGCATAAGAGGACTTTCCGCCCTAACCTTCGGGTTTGCACTTCATTGCAGGCTGAAAGTCTTTAGTAGCTGATATGAAAGAAATGTTCAAAACTAGAAGACAAAAATCCAGTCTATGTAGGGTTTATAAAGTTTATTATATGAATGTGAAATTACAAGCAGCGTTTCGCTGTCAGTTATGAATCTTCTTCAGGGTTACAATATATATATATGAGATGTCAATAGTTACGGTTAAGGTTTAATTGGTACACCTTACTAGGTGAAATTCATGAAAATTAAGCAGGAAACCTTAATTATAACTATTAACACCATATGTATATTGTGACTTTGAAGCAGCCTTATAAATGATAGCGAAACGTTTCTTGTGGTTTCACATTCATAATAATAAACCTTACATTGGATGGACTTTTGGCTTCTACTTCTTTTTAGAGAAAATATGACATTTAAATTTTACTACAACTTCTGCAGATGTTACAATGAGAGGGAACAATATTGTTACATAATTTAATTAAAAACTGTTGAATACATAAAGTGCTTTTCATTTACGTATTATAAACAATCAACTATTCAAAACTGTTAGCCCTTACTTTGTCTGGTCTGGTGAATATGTTAGAGCAATAATGGCATGTTCGCTCTCGTTCAGATTTAATTGTAGATATTTTCGTTGGTAATCATCTTGAACCCCACGGTTTCTGAGGCGAGGAACGAAACAGAGGGTGAACACGTGGCCTAGCCTACATCACAAGAGCTATCGCTATAAATTGAATACGATTTTATTCGAGTGGTGTTTAATATACAAGCCCTCCGTCGCCGATTCCAGCCGCCAAGAAGCTAATATATTTGACAAATAGATATTTATTATTACAGCAGGGGTGGATCGAGTATGATGCATCAGAGATCAGAGGGGCATGTAAGGTGCTCAAGTGCCCATGCACCTGAATAATGACCAGAAAATAAAACGTTTTATTGCTCGTTCGTACTCCAGCTGATATGGATTATGATTTTTTTTCTGATCTAGTTAGGTATTACAAACAGGGTTGTTCATAAAGCACGGAACATTGGACAACTGATATGAAATAGTAAAGGGTTGTTTATATAGGCCTATTTTAGATGTTCAGGATGTTTATTTTTTCATAAGAATCTTTAATTAAAAGTCACCTAGTTTGATTAAACAATTGACATGTATTGAGCGGGTTTAAAAGTTGATATTAGGGTGTATGGTTGGTTACATATACATAAGTTAAAAGATGGAAGAATTGCTTAGGCCTACTTTTGATATCCGGGATGTTTTCTTTTTATAAGAATCATTAATTTAAAATCGCCTGTTTGACAACAATTGCCATGAAATAGGCGGGTTTAAATAATAGTTAATTTTTATCGCTAAGCCCTCTCATTATAAATGTTTTATATATTTACACATTGCTTTACAAATTTCACCTCTTAATAGTTCAATAGTTAGATAAATTACTCCAGTTCATTCATGATTCTATTTATATTATTATTTCACAGTTTTATGGCTTTTCTGCAGCATATCAAGTAGATTAGTCAGTCTCTCATTGATAATGGTCAAGTGGACGAAACACGTGTCCTTCAAGGAGAAAAGGGTGAGTCCTTTTTATGCTTATTGGTTTCTTTACCGCATTTTCTGCTTTTATTATAAACGGTGTCTGATAGAGTAAAATAAAGGTCCTGCCGTCACATACACGCAAAGGTCCTTAGAAGATAACACAGAAATTAAATTTAAATAGCAATTGTAATGTGTAATAATTATCTATAAAATAAACTTTGAATGACTGCGCCAGTACATTTCTACATGATAGGGGTAAAATGCAAATAAGAAACTCCTTTCTCGAAGGAGCATCTATTGATATAATTACGCCTATATTTAAATACCTGCGTTTTCATGTTTTAAGTAGGTAACAAACCTTGTTTGCATATAAATTGCACATAAATATTATCAGTGTTAGTTTAAAGTGCACCCAACAGCAGGTAAATTACCTACTGTAACATTCGTACTAGTTTCATTTTCCGAAAATTACCCTTTATCATGTTCACAATTGAATTTAATACATTTAGAACCGGAAAATGTGATGCACTGTTTATAGAATAAATGACAAACCCAAAATTTTACAAAAATGCGAAATTTATTTGGAAACACCATAAGGCTTTTGTGTGTTTATTAAATATTGTAACAGCGGTGCTTTATATATTATAGTTAGGGAAACATAAAGGACATCAAACATTTCGGACGTTGTCCTTAAAGTTATATTTACTGTAGGTTTTTGTCTTACAAGCTTTGTGTTTCTGGCGAACTATTTTACAATAGACAGAGGTTGGCAGCGAAAGCTTGTGCTTTACAAGTAAACTTGTGAAAGTTTTCTTAAACTGGAATACATATTTACAAGGTCTTTTTGAAAAGTAGTAAAAGTTTATTGTAAGTAAAGTTTTTTAACAGTAATACAGTATTACCGCCTTTCAAACACTGACCTACTGTTTTATAACTAAAGTTTTTATGCCTGTTTTAAGATCAATACTGATGTACTGTTTTACAAGTAAAGTTGTTAGGTTTTCTTCAAAAGTAGTAAAGGTTTACTATGTGTAAAGTTCTTCAACAGTAATTCAGTATTACTGCCCTTTAGGTAAAGTTGTCAGGTCTTTTTCGAGAGTATTACTGAATTACTGCTTTACAAGTAAATCTGTTAAGACCTTCTCAAACAGGAATACATATTTACTGTTTTACAAGTAAAGCTGTTGGGTCTTTTTCAAAAGTAATAAAGTTTTATTGTTTTATAGGTAAAACTGTTAAACCTTTTTCAAGAGGAAAACGAGTTTACTGTTTTATAACTATAGTTGTTATGCCTTTTTTAAGGGTAATTCTAGTTTACTGTTTTACAAGTAAAGTTGTTAGGTCTCTTTCAAAAGTAGGAAAGGTTTATTGTAAGTAAAAGTTTTCAACAGTAATAGAGTATTACCGCCTTTCAGGTAAAGTTGTCAGGTCTTTTTCGAGGGTAATACTTAATTACTGCTATACAAGTAAAGCTATTAAGACGTTCTCGAACAGGAATACTTATTTACTGTTTTACATGTAAAGCTGTTTGGTCTTCTTCAAAAGTAATAAAAATTCATTGTTTTACAAGTGAAACTGTTTTACTAGTAAAGTTTATTAGAGATTCCTTTCAGGAGTAGTACAGCTTTGTTATTTTACAAGTACAGCTGTATTTCTTTTTCAACATTAATATATTATTACAAGGACCTAATGTTACTTTAGGGTCTTTTTCAAGGCGACTACATCAGGTTTATTGTTTTGTAAGTAACCTTCATATGAGTAATACCGAACTACCGCATTACAAGTATGGTTTTTGTCAAGAGAAATACAAGTTTACTGTTTTACAAGTAAAGCTATATAGTTCTCTTTCAAAGGTATTGTAGGCTTACAGTTTTAGACATTAAGTTGCTAGCTTCTTTTTCATAAGTAAAGCAGTAGGAATGATGATGATTACCTAAAAATACTAACCTTAACATGATGAATTGTTTCATAAGTATCCAAACCAAAGGATCAACAGAAGTTATTTTACAATATTTTTAGGCTGGAATATTCATTATTATTCACAAAACAAAGGTTACATTGTTTAAAAAAAAAAAAATATTGACAGAGACATGAGGTANAGGACTCGACACATCTTCACAGCTTCCGATTTTATTCTATTGTGTATTTGTTTGGTTTCAAACTCTTTATCTACTGAGGACTGTTGCAGTGCCATCACAGTATCATAGTAAGCCCTGAGTCTATTGAAACACTCAGTAATGAACTGTTCGTGAAATTCCAGCTGTGTAGCTTGCAAACTAGGTCCTAAATTGGTCGTTACTTCGCGTAATAGTTCAATAGCTCGAGCTGCCACCTCGTCAGTGCACAAAGTAACAACTTTCCAAAGATAATCAAGACCTATAAGATCGGGGTCTTCGGTAAGGAGAACACGTCGTTTCGGTTTCAGTTTGTCTTCTTTGACGTTGACTGCTTTAAAGAAACGTTCGAAGCACTTGATGCCGCTTTCGGTTAAGAGAACAGGGTCAAGCTGGAGGATGTTGTTCTCGAAGAAGTCCTTGTTTATTCCGGGATCTAAATCAGGCTCTTCGCCCATTAGTTTGGAGAACCAACGAAAACATGCCTCGCGATCTGAAGGGAATACTGCATTTTCTGTAAGACAATTCCATATCTGCTTCGCTTGTTCAGCGCATAACCACAATTGACCATCTCTCAAAAGAAACCTGACCAAACAAAATTTAATAATCAGATAACAAATTTATTAATTAGAAAGGTCAAAACTGTACCTAAGAAAATTCAGTCTTTCCTGGACCTGTAAATTGTGATTGTATCTCCCATCAGGCAGGTAAGTTTCGGGATTAATTTCGGGATGTTCTTTCGCCAGCACCCTTAGTCGCTCCATGTAATTAGTCAAACTATTGGTTACTAAAATAACTAACGAATGTTGCGTCTGCAATCGTTCGATGACCTCCTGCCTGTAAAAGGTGTGGTTGGTTCTCTGGGTATGTATTCCATTCACATTGGGCTCGTATAGGCACGATATTTCCCTAATCTGTTTTAAGGCAGGCAAAGCCCAAGAATCACCCTGTTTCAATTCGTCTACGCATTTATCGAGCCACACAGTTTTCTGAGCGTCCCTTTCTTGGGAACAACTGTAATCTAAAATTTTAACATGGGCAGCTAAAGCCTGGTCCATAATCTCTGTGGGCACTTCTTCAGAATGGGCCAAGTTCCAAAACAATGTCAGGACTTTGTGAGCCATGACACCTTCTTTGTCGTCTTCGGCAAGACGTCGAATAAGTTCCAGGAGTCTTTCTCGCTGCCTTTTCGATGCTGATGTCCAACTGCTTTGAAAGCATTCAAATAAGTGATCTAACTGTTCAGGGCTAAAGTCCCATGCCAGTTTTGCTAGGAGGTCGTGAACGTTTTTGACTATAGCCTCGTGTTTGCCCACTTGCGCCGACCAAATGGCATCCAAGTCAGACAGAGTTAAGGCGTGTTCTTTGATTACAAACCTGAGGATTTTTTCTAATTTTTCTACATACTGGGGCTGGTGTAACGAGTCTCTTAATACTATTTCTAGCACTTGGTTTTCTTTGAGCCATTTCTGAAAATAATACCACAAGTAGGATGTTAAACTAAAAGAAAAGTTTATTTCAATTTACCGCCATTCTTTCTGGCGTTAAGTACTCTTCCTCCTCCATACCATGGTGCCTATTGGGGTAATAAGCTACACTAGAAATGACTTTGTTAATTTCATTAAGAGCATTCATTTTTCCATTAAAACTGGATATTTGCAATTGACGTAGTATCATTTTTAGCCTAAAACTTTCCAATACTCTTATCAGTTCCTCTTGATTAGGCACACGAGATGCCAAATTCTTTGAAGATTTTATTATTGCCGAAACAATATCACTCTTTGTCTCACTTTTTGCTTCACGTTTCAATTCGTCGTCAGTCAATTTTTCTAATATATTTGGAATCATATCCTGCAATTTCAATGAGGAGTTTTTATTCGTAATTAATTTAGGTATTATTAAGTTTTTAAAAGATAAAGTTATTATAGTTATACATCTTAAATAAAAATTTTACTTTCTTTCTGGTATATTATTAAAACTGGTAGTAATAGATTAAAACATTTTAAGATAAACTGAATAGTTTATATGTAAAAATAAATTCCTTTACTCATAAACTAATGGAATATAGTATGTAAGGAGTTTTAGAAAGGGCAATTGGCCTTTATTATAGCCTTTACACTACCCTAAATGTAACAATAAAAAAGCTATTAGGTGATTAAATGATGCTTTTAAAATAAATGCAATAAAAGAAAAAAATAATTTTGAAAAATGGGTCCAACCAACAACCTGATTTATAAATTAATGATGTGGCTATTAATAACACCACATAAACAACCAAATGTGATGACTCATCATTCATTTCATAATAAGAATGTAGTTACTTTCTCAGTAAAATCATGTAATAAACAACTGCTTAGATGCAACAACAATCATTAAAAAACTTACCAAAACAGGTAGTATATATTTATTGATAGTATGTGGTGTTAAGAATTCGTATGACAACCCAAAAGGCCTAATGAGTGCAAATACAACAGAAACACTCAAATTTCCACTCTGAAATCTCTCCAACAGCAACTGAAATCCTCCTAGTTCACCAAATTTATTTATTAAATCAACTAACCAGCCTCTAGGGTTTCTAATATCATTGGAGGGTCTTGCAAACAATTCCTCTTCTGATAAACTTGTATTTGAGCCAGCAGTTTCACTAGCTCTTGAAGCATTGAAAGTGTGAAATTTGTTATTGGGATTAAATAACATTGCTAACAGATCCAAAAGTGGAAACCAATCTTGTTTAAGTTTCACAACACATAACTCTACCAATTTGAGGCAATTTTGAAAAATACACAAGTGTATATTAGACTTCCAACTTGAAACTGCATCATCAGTCAATATTTTAGTAAAGGAGATTGTTAGACCTTCTCTAAAGAACCTTTGACATGCTTCTGATTGTGTGTCTAAACCTTTTTTTGCCAAGTCAACAGAAGCATTAAGCAGACATTCTAGTTCTTGATCTGGCAGAACAGGTACTACCCAGCGTACATTTGATATTTTTTCATCAAGTGATAACAACTTATCATGGGGAAAATCAAGTTCGGTTGATTCATTTTGTAGTTCATTGGCTGTTGATGTAGCAGGAATATTCTAAAAAATACTTCTGTACTGTATGTAAATGAAGCTTTTTCTGTGAACTTACTTGTGTGTTGTCACAGGGCTCCCCTAGGAATCCCTGTCCCCTTGTTACAATGGTCATTAGGTATTTAATTAAGTTAGTCAGACATTATAAAACTCCTATATAATATGGCCAAGTTTATTCTCTTTGAAATACCACACCAGCAAAGTAATCAGCGATTTTGACATGCAATTCTTAAAATAAAGGCTGACAAAAGTGTATCTAGGGATCAAAAAATAAAAGGGAGGAGTGACAGTAACGACATTTTCAGTTAAATGCGTATGTAAACAATGACACTTACCAATTTTGCCAAAAAAATATGAGATAAGGCAAAAGATTACACACGTGAAGTTTTATAAAATTGTTTCTATTTCTGCCACAAACAAATTAGTTTTGTATTGGATCAAAAAATTCTTCAGAAAATTGACCGGTCATTTACAAAATGGCGCCGAAAATTAAAGATTTAAAGTATTCTAAATATATTTCTGACAAAGAAACTACGTTACTTTAATAGTAAGCAACTTAAAAATATTTCAACGTGTATTTATTTAAAAAAATTTTATATTAGGAACGACAAACTTGTATCATTTGACGTACAAATATTTTTCAAGCACAAGATGCGTTCAGTTACTTAACCACCATTTGCCGATCTTAGCTATTAAAATTAAGAAAATAAATAAATATTAAATGACAATAAATTTTTTAATAAATCAACAAATATATAAACATATTTATTTCGATTATATTAATTTACTGCAATTTAATTTCTTTCTCAAATTGGCATGTCCTTATTAGTTGCTTGTTATAACTGAACCAAACCATTTTACTTTTATTTTTTATTGGTATACTAAGTATTTTAAGTACTTTAAGTATACGAAGTTAAACAAAAAATAAAAATCTCTTTTTAAACCAGTGCAAATGTAAATAATAAGATAAGTTATTATGGTTTACGTAATGTAACATAATATTAATGATTAAACTGATCCTGTACAGTGGAACAAACCTTTCTGATTCATATGACTTCCTTTTATTTTATTTATTTCTATAACATTATGTTGTTATTCGAAAATAAAATAANAAGTTATTAAAAATTAATAAATAATTATATGTCAGAATCACAAACCAATGGTAGTTCAAATTAAAATGGGAATATGTAATTGTTAATATGAATAGAAAAGTTTACAACGTAGACATAAATGCCACTTTTATATTTGATATAAACGTCTGAAAATAAAAATTCAATTTGGGTCAAAATAAGCATGTTAATTTGATCCAAAAAGACATTAATAAAATGTGACATCTATTAAAATTCTTGTCTCGGATGCTAGACGTTAATCATGCAGAAGTGGTCACCCCAACTACTGTAATAAATGTTCAAACACAAATGTGTTAGGGAGGAGTTTAATAAAAGTGAGGGTTGGCCTTTTATGAGGTTGCGTGCTGTTCCTGGAGCACAATGCCATGACTTTTAATATGTCCTGTTGTACGCACACATTACGTACCGGTCCACTTTTTCATTAATCTGCGTATACAGGGCGTTTCATTGTATTTTTAATTTTTCGCCCTCTTTATTTTCCGCATATCAAAACTAATGAAATGGAAATACAAACGTCAAAGGAACCGAATTTTATTAGTTTTCTTTAAAGTTACACTCGTAAAAGTGTATGGAACTGCAGCACCCCTTCTTATTTCCACTTAATATTAGCGACAACATTTAATATAATGAGTCCTGTTTTCTTTACCTATACTTGAACAATATGAAATCCTTGAGCGTAAAATCAGTAATCATCCCTCCGTACATAAAACAGAAATCAACAGGGGAATATTTAATTCCATTTCTAGAAATAGGCATAAGAGGACTTTCCGCCCTAACCTTCGGGTTTGCACTTCATTGCAGGCTGAAAGTCTTTAGTAGCTGATATGAAAGAAATGTTCAAAACTAGAAGACAAAAATCCAGTCTATGTAGGGTTTATAAAGTTTATTATATGAATGTGAAATTACAAGCAGCGTTTCGCTGTCAGTTATGAATCTTCTTCAGGGTTACAATATATATATATGAGATGTCAATAGTTACGGTTAAGGTTTAATTGGTACACCTTACTAGGTGAAATTCATGAAAATTAAGCAGGAAACCTTAATTATAACTATTAACACCATATGTATATTGTGACTTTGAAGCAGCCTTATAAATGATAGCGAAACGTTTCTTGTGGTTTCACATTCATAATAATAAACCTTACATTGGATGGACTTTTGGCTTCTACTTCTTTTTAGAGAAAATATGACATTTAAATTTTACTACAACTTCTGCAGATGTTACAATGAGAGGGAACAATATTGTTACATAATTTAATTAAAAACTGTTGAATACATAAAGTGCTTTTCATTTACGTATTATAAACAATCAACTATTCAAAACTGTTAGCCCTTACTTTGTCTGGTCTGGTGAATATGTTAGAGCAATAATGGCATGTTCGCTCTCGTTCAGATTTAATTGTAGATATTTTCGTTGGTAATCATCTTGAACCCCACGGTTTCTGAGGCGAGGAACGAAACAGAGGGTGAACACGTGGCCTAGCCTACATCACAAGAGCTATCGCTATAAATTGAATACGATTTTATTCGAGTGGTGTTTAATATACAAGCCCTCCGTCGCCGATTCCAGCCGCCAAGAAGCTAATATATTTGACAAATAGATATTTATTATTACAGCAGGGGTGGATCGAGTATGATGCATCAGAGATCAGAGGGGCATGTAAGGTGCTCAAGTGCCCATGCACCTGAATAATGACCAGAAAATAAAACGTTTTATTGCTCGTTCGTACTCCAGCTGATATGGATTATGATTTTTTTTCTGATCTAGTTAGGTATTACAAACAGGGTTGTTCATAAAGCACGGAACATTGGACAACTGATATGAAATAGTAAAGGGTTGTTTATATAGGCCTATTTTAGATGTTCAGGATGTTTATTTTTTCATAAGAATCTTTAATTAAAAGTCACCTAGTTTGATTAAACAATTGACATGTATTGAGCGGGTTTAAAAGTTGATATTAGGGTGTATGGTTGGTTACATATACATAAGTTAAAAGATGGAAGAATTGCTTAGGCCTACTTTTGATATCCGGGATGTTTTCTTTTTATAAGAATCATTAATTTAAAATCGCCTGTTTGACAACAATTGCCATGAAATAGGCGGGTTTAAATAATAGTTAATTTTTATCGCTAAGCCCTCTCATTATAAATGTTTTATATATTTACACATTGCTTTACAAATTTCACCTCTTAATAGTTCAATAGTTAGATAAATTACTCCAGTTCATTCATGATTCTATTTATATTATTATTTCACAGTTTTATGGCTTTTCTGCAGCATATCAAGTAGATTAGTCAGTCTCTCATTGATAATGGTCAAGTGGACGAAACACGTGTCCTTCAAGGAGAAAAGGGTGAGTCCTTTTTATGCTTATTGGTTTCTTTACCGCATTTTCTGCTTTTATTATAAACGGTGTCTGATAGAGTAAAATAAAGGTCCTGCCGTCACATACACGCAAAGGTCCTTAGAAGATAACACAGAAATTAAATTTAAATAGCAATTGTAATGTGTAATAATTATCTATAAAATAAACTTTGAATGACTGCGCCAGTACATTTCTACATGATAGGGGTAAAATGCAAATAAGAAACTCCTTTCTCGAAGGAGCATCTATTGATATAATTACGCCTATATTTAAATACCTGCGTTTTCATGTTTTAAGTAGGTAACAAACCTTGTTTGCATATAAATTGCACATAAATATTATCAGTGTTAGTTTAAAGTGCACCCAACAGCAGGTAAATTACCTACTGTAACATTCGTACTAGTTTCATTTTCCGAAAATTACCCTTTATCATGTTCACAATTGAATTTAATACATTTAGAACCGGAAAATGTGATGCACTGTTTATAGAATAAATGACAAACCCAAAATTTTACAAAAATGCGAAATTTATTTGGAAACACCATAAGGCTTTTGTGTGTTTATTAAATATTGTAACAGCGGTGCTTTATATATTATAGTTAGGGAAACATAAAGGACATCAAACATTTCGGACGTTGTCCTTAAAGTTATATTTACTGTAGGTTTTTGTCTTACAAGCTTTGTGTTTCTGGCGAACTATTTTACAATAGACAGAGGTTGGCAGCGAAAGCTTGTGCTTTACAAGTAAACTTGTGAAAGTTTTCTTAAACTGGAATACATATTTACAAGGTCTTTTTGAAAAGTAGTAAAAGTTTATTGTAAGTAAAGTTTTTTAACAGTAATACAGTATTACCGCCTTTCAAACACTGACCTACTGTTTTATAACTAAAGTTTTTATGCCTGTTTTAAGATCAATACTGATGTACTGTTTTACAAGTAAAGTTGTTAGGTTTTCTTCAAAAGTAGTAAAGGTTTACTATGTGTAAAGTTCTTCAACAGTAATTCAGTATTACTGCCCTTTAGGTAAAGTTGTCAGGTCTTTTTCGAGAGTATTACTGAATTACTGCTTTACAAGTAAATCTGTTAAGACCTTCTCAAACAGGAATACATATTTACTGTTTTACAAGTAAAGCTGTTGGGTCTTTTTCAAAAGTAATAAAGTTTTATTGTTTTATAGGTAAAACTGTTAAACCTTTTTCAAGAGGAAAACGAGTTTACTGTTTTATAACTATAGTTGTTATGCCTTTTTTAAGGGTAATTCTAGTTTACTGTTTTACAAGTAAAGTTGTTAGGTCTCTTTCAAAAGTAGGAAAGGTTTATTGTAAGTAAAAGTTTTCAACAGTAATAGAGTATTACCGCCTTTCAGGTAAAGTTGTCAGGTCTTTTTCGAGGGTAATACTTAATTACTGCTATACAAGTAAAGCTATTAAGACGTTCTCGAACAGGAATACTTATTTACTGTTTTACATGTAAAGCTGTTTGGTCTTCTTCAAAAGTAATAAAAATTCATTGTTTTACAAGTGAAACTGTTTTACTAGTAAAGTTTATTAGAGATTCCTTTCAGGAGTAGTACAGCTTTGTTATTTTACAAGTACAGCTGTATTTCTTTTTCAACATTAATATATTATTACAAGGACCTAATGTTACTTTAGGGTCTTTTTCAAGGCGACTACATCAGGTTTATTGTTTTGTAAGTAACCTTCATATGAGTAATACCGAACTACCGCATTACAAGTATGGTTTTTGTCAAGAGAAATACAAGTTTACTGTTTTACAAGTAAAGCTATATAGTTCTCTTTCAAAGGTATTGTAGGCTTACAGTTTTAGACATTAAGTTGCTAGCTTCTTTTTCATAAGTAAAGCAGTAGGAATGATGATGATTACCTAAAAATACTAACCTTAACATGATGAATTGTTTCATAAGTATCCAAACCAAAGGATCAACAGAAGTTATTTTACAATATTTTTAGGCTGGAATATTCATTATTATTCACAAAACAAAGGTTACATTGTTTCAAAAAAAAAAAATATTGACAGAGACATGAGGTAAAGCAATAACGTCCTGAAACAAATATATATGTTTGTTGAAACTTTGAGTGCTTTACTGTGTGAATTATTTTGTGATTTTTTAGTGGATATT